AAAAAATATCCAGAATCAATTTTGAGACCATGGGGGCAAACATCTCTGGATAAAGTTCCAGTGGCCAAGGTCCTGCTTATCCCTTTGCAAGTCTCCAACAAACTCCGCTCCGAGAAACTCCACACTTTTCTTTGGTTGCGACCCCAGTGTCGCTGAATATTTTTCCACGGGACAACCCCCCTGAACTTTGAAAATACCAAAGTTGGGGCCTGGGGCTGAATAAATTTCCTAGAGGGATAATTTTTTCGTGCACAGGGTCAGGAAAAAATCCTGCCAGCGCGAACCCGGTTCTTAAATGATCTTAAATTTCCCAAAGAGCAAATGAGATGTGGCCAACACTTTGGCTTGTGGGTCGAACTGAATCCTGTCGGACAAGTGGACATGAAACAATTCTTGCGCGGGCTACAGTGTCCAAAATTCAAAACAACAATCTGACGAACGCACCACACGCGTTGCAGCGCCACAATGCTGCCTGCACTTGTTCCTTGTTGTCTTGGGACATAGAGACGCCAAGCTGCTGCCAAGCCTAACAGAAGCGCCTTCACACCCTTTTGGGCCTTAAATGATCTTAAATTTCCCAAAGAGCCGTCACGACACTTAAATGATATGTGGCCAAGACTTTGGCTTATGGGTTGAACTGAATCCTGTCGGACACTCTTCAAAGTGGACGTGAAACAATTCTTGCGCGGGCTACAGTCTCCACCATTCAAAACACAACCATCTGACGCACGCTCCACAAGCGTAAACAGAAGGTGCTTGTGGACAGCGTTGGGTCCCGTCAGGGCGCCAGGTTGGTTCCTAACTATCCTGCAAAATGTGCTTCGCACGCTTTGCGGGTTGAAACACGCGCTTGGCAATTTCTGGCAAATGTATGGCAGAGACTGGCACAAATCCTTACGAGCCACAATCCCTACCAATGAACGCTGGTCAAAGCATTTTGCAACCGAATTTGAGTCAGCATCTTCCATGTTGCACTTTTGTTGGTGAACCGATGTCCTAATTATGTCTTTGTGCGTTGTTCGAATTGTGCCAAATATTTTTGTGCGGTGTGCATTTTGGAGATGGAGCATTCCATTCGCATGTGAAGGGTCTACCCTTCTTCCATTTGCATCTGAGGGGTCTGCTTCGCATGGTGCTCGCAAACTGTTGGTCCTCCTCTTGAGCTTTCCGCAGGTCATAGTGTACTTCAGCCATGGCTTGCAAAACACTCAGCGCAGAAATCTTCTGAATTGCTGAGCACAAGATGAGCAAGGTGCTTGAACTCTTGCTGCTGTGATGGACAATTGTCCTCTACAAGGGCTAATGCACTTTTATCACCAAAAAAACAAATCGTCACCAAACAAAAATCAATGACTGGACCGCGCTTCCAAGTTCCACCAACGAAAAAGCGGCGCTCCCATGCAGCAAGCACATTTGAGATCGTATAGCTTGACAAGTTAAGCTTTGTCGTCTTGATGTGGCAGTCGTGAGCGGCAACCCGTCCGCTTTTTGCGCAGTTCGTACTTCACAAGTACTTCAGCCGTGGCAAAATCTGCATTGCAGGCAGCGCGGGCCAAATGACTGAGCAACATGCTTGAACTCTTTCTAATCTAACTCACAAGCTTCCTTGCAAACGGTCTGGGACTTGCAGTACTCAAAAGGTGGCTGTCCTCTACGAAACACTTTTAAGCCCTTGTAGCCTCGACAACTTAACCAGCCGGGCGGCACCACATGTGGCAAGTGGCACATGCTGTTCTGCCTGGTGCACCCATTTCAGGTGTGCGCAAAACTCTCACGGCGACGAACTTCTGCATGGCAGAACGTCTTGATACCATTTGTGGGAATCGTGAGCCTCAACTGTCCGTCCGCTTGTTGCACTGTTGGTATTTCACAAGTACTTCAGCCGTGGCAAAATCTGAATTGGAATCGCAAAGGGTCTGGTAGTTGGAGTGAAAGGTGTCTGCCCTCCACAAAACACTTTTCCCAACTCGACAACACCGGGTGAAACCGGTGGCAACTGTTGGTCCTTTCGTTAAACCAGTGAGGAAGCTGCGATTCCGCCATTTCGCCCAAGCCCCGTTGCCACTGCCAAATCAAGAGGAATTTCGCAAAAGCCATCATCGCGCTGTGCTGCCAGAATCCGTGGGCCTTCCAACTCCTAAAAAATCAGTCGTTTTGCACAATCACAGGCGTTTCATCAAATTTATGGTCGTATTGAGCGTTTCCCCAAAAAGTTAGGCGTGGTATGTCATGGCTGTGTTTCCCATCGGCATGGCCCTGTCTTCTCGCCAACATTTTGCTTTCAAAATATGGAGCCGTGCATCCAAGTTGGATTCTTGGATTTGCGGGCGTTTGCGGGTTTTTGCGGGTGTTTTGCGGGTAATTTTGGGCGCAGCTGTGTGCATTTATATGCGTTGGTGCTCGGGATATGAGAATGGCCTGGTATGTCATTGGGACGCAGCCATGATGCAAGCCATGTTCAGTCGCATTCAAAATGTCAATTGTGGTGATAGTGTGGCCACTGGGAAGCAAAACCAGGCAAACTATAGTAGAATTAGACGAGATTCTGAAAACTGGGTCGTTCTAGGTCATACTCCAAAACTACCAAAAATAATTGATCGAAGGAATGTTCAGGTCGAATTCGAATTTCGCAATTTCTTTGGCACACCGTGGCTCAAAGTTGCTGGCACTCGCAAGAAAGTGCCGCAACCAGTATGGCATCGACATGCATCGACTGTAACTGGGAAAGAAACTGGCGCAAGGCCTCGAACCTGCTCTCAGATATTTGAGATATTCCACGTATTGCCAGTCAAAAAGAACTTTCCCTCTGATGATCTGTGTGTCTGCAGCCCCGAACTCAAACATTGGAACATTGAAACTGTTCCTCGATATTCGTGCTGTGACAAAAATGGGAGCAGCTTTTGGATCCAAAACTTCAAGTTTTGATCTCTAATTGAAGCTTGCTTCGGACACACAAGACAAAACATCTGTGCTGTTGATTTTGGCGGAACAGCGACAAGGAATGGCTCTTGAAAGGTGCTATGTATTCATATCATTTCAGTTTCCAATGATTTGATCGTTTCTGATAGCGATGATTGAGCGTGGGAAACGCGAAACTGCTGGTGTCACTGCCGAGGGGCAGCGGCTACGGCTTGGAAGTGCACTGAGCATGTTTTGCTGTGACGCAGCGACAGTTGCATATTTGTGCACGGGGATTCATGGACAGCGCTAGCATGAGACAGGTGCGAAAGAGAAAGTCTTTCGAGAGTTGGCCAAAAGTTTTTCATGATATGTTGCCACCATTTTTGGGGGGAGAACCTGAAAATTTCACAAGCGATGTCCTACAAGACTCGAAAGGTTCATCCAAGTGCATCTCAAGGGAAAGCTGAAGAACAAACTTCGAAAGAGGAATGTCTGGCAGGGGAACTTCATGTTTCTGCAAGGATCCGATTATTTTTTGCATTTCCACAACTGGTACACCAGGAATCCGAAACAAACTGCCAGACATGGATAGCCAAGTCGGCCCGCAGCAGAAAAGCTGATAGCACTTACTTGTAAAGAAGAGGTGGCTATCCCCTACTACAAACAGCCTGCAGCCGTGACTTGACAAGGTAAACCGTGACGTACTGATACTTTGTTTGAGAAACAGTGGCAACTGCTGATCCTCCTGTTAGACTTTCGGTACACCGAGGGCTTGCAGAACACTCAGCGCAGCGATCTCCTGAATCGCCGAGCAGAAGATGAGCAAGGTGCTCGAACTCTTGCTGGCGCGCGGGTGTCTTTTATACAAGGGCTGAATCCACAGTTGAAGCAGAAACTCTTGAGATCGCTTAGCTTGACAAGTTAACCTTCGTCGTCTTGATACCACTTGTGGGAATCGTGAGCAGCAACTGTCCGTCCGCTTGTTGCATTGTTGGTATTTCACAAGTACTTCAGCCGTGGCAAAATCTGCATTGCAGGCAGCGCGGGCCAAATGACTGAGCAACATGCTTGAACTCTTTCTAATCTAACTCACAAGCTTCCTTGCAAACGGTCTGGGACTTGCAGTACTCAAAAGGTGGCTGTCCTCTACGAAACACTTTTAAGCCCTTGTAGCCTCGACAACTTAACCAGCCGGGCGGCACCACATGTGGCAAGTGGCACATGCTGTTCTGCCTGGTGCACCCATTTCAGGTGTGCGCAAAACTCACGGCGACGAACTTCTGCATGGCAGAACGCAAGACTGAGCAACGTGGTTGATTTCCCACCTGGCAAGATCGGAGAACCGGCTACTGTTATTCCATGGGGCGGAGATGGAAACTATGGGAAAACTAAACGGACAATTGGAAGCATTGCCAGGTTAGACCAAAAGGTTTTCAAATGGTTGTGGGTATTTGCGATTGGTGGATTTGCTGAAACACCGGTGTGAGACAGTACCGAAATGGTAAATGAGAATGCAACACTCAATGAGAATGTGACGCTCCCATGAAGGAACAACTTTTGAGATCGCATAGCTTGACAACTTGACAAGTTAACCTTTGTCGTCTTGATACCATTTGTGGGAATCGTGAGCGGCAACTGTCCGTCCGCTTGTTGCACTGTTGGTATTCCACAAGTACTTCAGCCGTGGCAAAATCTGCATTGGAATCGCAAAGGGTCTGGTAGTTGGAGTGAAAGGTGTCTGCCCTCTACAAAACACTTTTGCCAACTCGACAACACCGGGTGAAACCGGTGGCAACTGTTGGTCCTTTCGTCAAACCAGTGATAGCTTTTGAATGCTTTTGATCCATTCATATCCTAATTAATTATGCTATTTTGATTTGAGCTCCCCTTGAGTGCCCCCACTCAGGCGTGTTGAAGACGGCCTCAGTTTGATCACAGCAACAGGACAAGTTTAAGCTGTGGATAAACCGATAAACCCTTCATGTTTAAACAAAAACGTAGCTCAACTGGGGATTGAAACATTAATGGGTGGTTCTAAGAATCAGAGTAACCCTGAAACGATTGCTTTCCCCATGAAATTGCTATGAGTACCAACATTGTCACAGTTCTGAGCTTGGAGCGTGGAACAGCGAATAGCACAAACCAGAGATCTTCAAGCAATCCTGGCCGACACATATGACTGGATCATTTTTGGGTGATAAAATGTGATAAACAATCATATCAAATGCATCATCCAATACTGGGTCATCTTGAGGTCATCTTGAGGTCATCTTGATGTGCGTCAACAGCCATTGGACTCGGATAATCTGATCCGAAGGTCCTCTTCACCGAAGCACCGTCATCAGTCGTTACTCGTAATGTCTACATCTCTTTGACAATAAACATGTACAAGTACACGAAACTGCATCCAGAAAACCTGTGCAAACCACTCAAATCTATATATAGAGAATCATAGACATACACATCATTACACATCTATCCATAAAATCCACATGGACCATCCGGACCCTCCTCATACTGCTCATCCAAGGTATATGTCAAGCACGCCCGACTGTACCATCTCACCACAAACTGCTGTGCACAGTGGTTTGAAACCAATGCCACCCCAATCAGTTGAAATCCACATTTTTATGCATGTTTTCCCATATTGTTTCCCATATATGTTCCCCATTTACCATACATTTTCCGTGCCTTCTCTCGCTTGGGCCGCACGATCTTCTCCTCGGTCTCATTCTCGTCCTTGTCAACCTGAGATCCATAGAGTTGTTCTTACCTCGAAAATAAGAACATATGAAGAGTTATGAAGTGTGTAGAAATCAACAATTGCACCATGATCACCATGATTTTTCCATTTGAAAATACACATAACTGACATATACTTTTCACAAATTCAACCTTGACCATAACCATGAAACATTATAAAGCATGATAAGACTAAACCATGCATCTTTGCACACAGATTCACATCTGCTCCTCGCCTCGTCCTCGTCGTTGGGAGCGATCTCAAATTGAGGGTCTGCGGCCTGGTCAGACTCGAGTTGCTGACTCTGGGGTTGCAACGATTTCGGCTGCAAGGTCAAAGAATTTGGTATTGAATAACAAATTGCCATGGAAACATTGGTGGATAGGTCAAAATTTATATAAGCCCTATGGGACCACAGATTTTAGTATATGTTTAGTATTGACCATCTAATTATTGGGGTACCCAATTTTGACCTATACAAAAAAAAATTGTGCTTAGAAGCGGGTAGCCTGAATTCGGCTCAGTCTTTTAGAGGTCAACATTGGACATATGGTAATCACCAAAAAGATAGAACAGCAATTCATCACATTCATCACATTCGACTGACTATAGTTTTATATAGGATTTGACTCACGTTTTTGTAAAAATCTGAATTTGGGGTTGCTATTGGATTTCGACGAAAATTGGACCTTCACGTACCAACTGAACTGTTCGACGGCCATGCCTCTGAGGTTCCAGTGAGTGATGATCTTCCAGCACAAGACTACTGGTGCCAATTCCTGCGCATTCCGTGATCTTTGCTCATTTTAAACAATATGATTTGGATTGTATAATTAGATAGAGGTTTTAAAAAAAACTGAAAGAATCTTCAAAGCACTTTAATATGTCACTTTAAATCTATCCATTATGAAACTCACAGGTGCTTCAACCAGCTGCACCCGTTGGTTCTGCAGATCTTTTTCTGAGCACAACTCTCTTGGGCTCAGCAGAACACCATCCTGAGGCCGGTGGAGCTAGGCAGCGATTTCTCCCAAAGACCAATGTCATGTTGGGGGTACCCTAAAATGGATGGTTTATAAGGGAACATCCTGGAATCCTATTAAAATTCATGATTTTAGTTTCAAATGATAATCCCTTCCCCCGAAAAAAAATAAACACCCCCAAGGGGAAACCACGGTTTAGTAGGGAATTTCCACATAATTGGAACCATTGGAACGCGGGTGTTTGATATTAGGGGGATGGGATTAGTCTTTCTCTGTGATCCCAGAATCGACATATTGGGTGTAAGAAAACAACTAAAGGCTCTATCTGACTATCTGATGTTTTCTGATGTTTTCTGATGTTTTCTGATGTTTTCTGATGTTTTCTGGCCCTATGTCATGGTCTGCCAGGGTTTTCGCAATGCGAATCGTTGATGAACTTCCAACCCTTCTGCCCGAAAGGTTCTTTCGGCAACCAACACATATTTCTGCTATGAATATTCCCCGAAAGCAAGCCTGATTTTGTGCCAGTTCATAAAAGGCCGCCCATCAGCAAGGATACACTGAGTTACACAGGATCTATGGCCTGGTTGTGGCCCAGTTTCCGTTCGGCTTGCACCGTTGATGCGTATCACTTCAGCTCCGACTTCACCTGCCGCAGGATCCAGCAGGCGCTCACGGCAGCGAATAGGGGAAACCACTGCCATGTTCGGCCATCCCCTTCGGGACACTGCGGGTCTCTCAAGATCATTCAACAGTTCTTTGAGTTCTTTGAGGGGCTCAAACATGGGACTATGATTTTCCACGTTTTCGCCAGTAGAGTTCCCATCTGACCCGGGAGTACCCAACAGCCATACACCAAGATACTCGCCCAAGACTCCACCAATCGCAGTGACCCCGCCTAAGGTTGCCACCAACTGAGATCCCAAGAAGGCCCAAATCTGCAAAGACCATGGAGCTATCACCATTGGCCCTGTGTAAAAACTTGCCAGGATTTTCCGCAAAAACATTTACTAAATGGGTTCTCAAAGTGGTGATTCTGGAAGTTATCATAGCTATCAACTATTGCCAATCTGTTTCGCCAGTGGCTGACATCCCCTGACCATCCCAGACCAAACATGTCATATCCCAACCACATTCCCCGGAGAATCTGGCTAGTTCAGAACTGGATTCCTCTAGTGGATTCTCATAAATTCCCCATTATACATCATTATATATCATTATATTGGGTAGATTTGGGTAGTATACTGTAATCCCCATACATACATTAACCACATATAATGTGTGTATATATATATATATCTGGTTGGTGGTTTTAACCATCTTGAAAAATATTAATCAATGGGAAGGATTATCGCATATATTATGGAAAATAAAAAATGTTTGAAACCACCCCTCAGATATATATATATATAACTTATATAACCAACAACCATCATTCACCAAGGGCACCAAGGGCCGTTCTCGACAGCCTCGCCCTCGTGCTTGACCCGCATCCAAGACCAAGATCTGGGGAACTGGGATGAGAGCCATGAAGAAGAAACCCATGAGAAACCCATGGGTACCCTCTGGTAATTTAACGTAGCTATTGAAAATGGTGATTTATAGTGGGTTTTCCCATTAAAAATGGTGATTTTCCATAGTTATGTTAAATTACCAGAGGGTAACCTGTTTTTCTATTCCATAATATCCTAAAAAACTGTGACCATAGCGTGTTTGTGGAACTATAGGTCCAATACGCAAAGACGTGCCCAATGAACATGCTGGAGTATGTACATGCGTACAGGTTTTGCTAGTGGCATCTATCTTGCTGGTTGGACGCCTGATTGGATCATTCCAAATCTTCAGAAATCCTTGACATTCATGCTTGGATCATGATATATCATTACACAAATCATCACACATCTACATCACTCTAAACCAATAAGATATCCAATAGGATCTCATTACACTTATATATATATAATCACTCTAAATCAATCTAAGTATAAGCAAACCAATAAAAGATATTAAATAGAATTTCATTACACAAATTTACATAGATCACTCTAAACCAATATAAGATATATTAAGATATAAAATAGGATCATTCAAAACCACAAATCCAATCTTTCTCCAAGCGAGGCACGAAAGAGTTCTGCTCCCAGAGATCCTGCAAAAGAGAATCGTTCGCTATGTAAAAACCAGGTGATGTTCTCCCGGGAAAGTCCATGGTGCCACCATATTGGAATAACGTTAGTAAAGATTGTAAATTTCAGGGGATGGTATGGGATGGTGGATCCTATTGTTTTGCGAACATTCATGGGATTTTGACCATGTTCTTCAACCATAACGCAACCAGAGTTCAAGGTCCAACCAAGAACAATTTTAATGGGATATGGAATCTGTTTACCTGCCAAGCAATATTGGTTTTATATTGGTGGGAATAACTCCCAATCCGCCGTCCTGCCGGCGTGTCTGATTGGAAGGTGTTGTTCTTGTTTCTGTTCTTGGTTTGTACTTGTTTCTGTTCTTGGCTTGTGCTTGTTCCTTTGTTCTCTTGCCGCGCGTTTTTGCTTCGTCTGAATCAAAGTCCCCCCCCTCCCCCCACAACATGTACTAGTACTATGTACTTTGTACAAATGTACTAGTAGTAGTAGTAGTAGTAGTAGCAGCAGCAGCAGTAGCAGTAGCAGTAGCAGTAGCAGTAGCAGTAGCAGTAGCAGTAGCAGTAGCAGCAGCAGCAGCAGTAGGAGTAGGAGTAGGAGTAGGAGTAGGAGTAGGAGTAGGAGTAGGAGTAGTAGTAGTAGTAGTAGTACTAGTAGTACTAGTAGTACTAGTAGTACTAGTAGTACTAGTAGTACTAGTAGTACTAGTAGTACTAGTAGTACTAGTAGTAGTAGCAGTAGCAGTAGCAGTAGCAGTAGCAGCAGCAGCAGCAGTAGCAGTAGCTGCTACTACTACTACTACTGCTACTACTACAGCTACTACTACTACTACCACCACCACCACTACTACCACTACTACCACCACTCCTACTCCCACTCCTACGCCTACTCGACGCCTACTCCGACTTCGACTCCTCAGAAGCTTTTACACACCGAAGCTTTTACACACGGAAGCTTTTACACACAAAAGCTTTTACACACAGACACTTTTACACACCGGCGCTTTTACACACACACACACACTTTTACACACAGAAGCTTTTACACGCAGAGGCTTTCCCGGATTCCGTCCAAATAGCTCTCCCCCAGCAGAGTGAAGGATTTTTGGTGTTTTTTTACTTACAAAAGCTTTTACACACAGAAGCTTTTACACACAAAAGCTTTTACACGCAGAAGCTTTTACACACAGAAGCTTTTACACACAGAACCTTTTGCACACAGAAGCTTTTACACTCAAAAGCTTATACTCACAGACACTTTTACACACAGAAGCTTTTACACACAAACGCTTTTACACACAGACGCTTTTACAGACAGATGCTTTTACACACCGAAGCTGCTACACACAAAAGCTTTTACACACAGACACTTTTACACACAGAAGCTCTTACACAGACACTTTTGCACACAGAAGCTTTTACACACAGAAGCTTTTACACACAGACGCTTTTACACACAGAAGCTCTTACACACAGAAGCTTTTACTCACAGACACTTTTACACACAGAACCTTTTACACACAGACGCTTTTACACACAGAAGCTTTTACACGCAGAAGCTTTTACACACAGAAGCTTTTACACACAGAAGGTTTTTCACACAGAGGCTTTTACACACAGAAGCTTTTACACACAGAAGCTTTTACTCACAGACACTTTTACACACAGAAGCTTTTACACACAGACGCTTTTACACACAGAAGCTTGTACGCACAGAAGCTTTTACACACAGAAGCTTTTACACACAGAAGCTTGTACGCACAGAAGCTTTTACACACAGAAGCTTTTCCACACAGACACTTTTACACACAGACGCTTTTACACAGAAGCTTCTACACACAAACGCTTTGCACACAGGCGCTTTTACACACAGACGCTTTTACACACAGAAGCTTTTACATACAGAAGCTTTTACACACAGAAGCTTTTACACACAGAACCTACACACAGAAGCTTATACACACGGAAGCTTTTACACACAGAAGCTTTTACACACAGAAGCTTTTACACACAGAAGCTGCACATCAAACTCCCTTGGGGCCACCTCTCTATGGCCGGCGGGCTTGCCGAAGGCAATTAAATAACAACAGAAAACTTGTCAAAAGTACCTGATAGAAATATAAATTATACCTCCCAATGGGAATCTTGATGCCGAAAGAAACATCGAAGAGAGGCCACTTGACCAAACATGTTGAATGGACATTTAGCATTGTATGTATATATATATATGTGTGTGTGTCACAGTGATAGAGATTCAATCGAACAAACATGTACTTTCACCAAAAACAACAACCATCCAAATTTAATGTGAGAAAGCATTGGATTTAGCCAACACAAGCATGAGTTGACCCAAGAACCACGGGCATTCAACCTACAGACACGGATTCAAATATTGCCGTACAATTTCTCGTTTTTTGAATGACCAGAAACTCAGGATTCTTAGCCCCAACTTCACTTTTTGAGCACTTTCAAATCACTACTCCACCCAAAAAAATATGTATACAGCAAAATGCATAGTTGTTCTCCATACACATACCATACATTAGAGGTAAAATGAGTTAAATCCAGTAAAATGCCAAAAATGGAAGATTGTGCTCCAATAAACCTCTCAGAAATTGGAGATCCAGCTTCCTGCAGCAAATGGAGCGGAGCAGCACCCCCTCCACGGCCACATTCCAATAAGACCTCCAGCGATGCCATGTGCGCGCCGGAAAGTGGGAGCAGATCCTCAAAATGGGATAAAAAAACCAACCACAACATGGGATATGGAGGTGTCCTAAGTCATGGAGGTAGCCCCAAATCATCCTTCAAGTCATGGATCATGACTTGGTATTGAAAGCTATGGTGACTTGGGGATCCCTCAGTTTAAGAAACACCCATATAGTGACTGTGGGGATACAATACGGGGATATATGAGGCGAAAGAAAACCAACAAAATGTTTAGTGGCACACAGACACACACACACAATGGAATCTTCCGGGATCTAGGCAATTTGACAAACAAAAAATGATACATTTCACGAACCATCATGGGTATATATATATATTTACATATTGGGAGACACTGGCATACATCGAAAAACGGGGTTTCAATGGGGAGTACTCAGCCAAATTGGGATTTTGACCATTTTGACCATCGTACGTGATGCAGTTGGGAAAACACGAAGTAAACCAGAAAGCCAACTAAGTATTCATTGGGTATATCCCAGTTTGCTAGGGGTTTTTTTTCCCATTGCTAGGGCTATATCCCATTGAATAAACCATCTGCAACTGGGGTCATTGGGATATACCGCAATGGGATGTTCTGACCTCTGATGGTTGGGATGGCGGCCGTGCAACTGGGCCACATGAGATGGCTATCCGATCATTGGCCAAAGATGGTAAGAAACGGGGGAAGAATATCACGTCGTCCTGGATTCTCCTGGGAAACAAAATCATGGTAAAGTCGTGGTCAAGCAACAATCCGCAAGCTGATCTGCCAGTCCCACAAAAAAAAAAAACAACTGAGAGCGATGCATGAGAAAAGATGTAGAGATCATACCTTAGCCGTAGCCGGTTGGAGAGTCTATGACCCCAAAAACATGTCTTTTGAAATCAAATCATAAAGGCTTATTTGCTTGTTCCTTGTGGTTCCTGCCAGCAACCATCCGGACCGTTAGCAAAATCTGTGACTGGGACTGAGCTCTTTGAAGGGTTCTTTCAGTTCTGTTGTCTGTCTCTATATATATATATATACGTATATCTAGATACAGTAGTCTTCAAACCATTATACCGCCTCATACCCTCCAAGCTTACGTCATAGACATGAAGCTGCAAAGTCAGATCCTGATTCCAATCGATTTACTATCATGTGCTTAGGAAACTCTTAGTAGCTCCTTAGCTCCTCATTTAACAGGGATTCCATGGTATGCGCATAGCTCCTTTGAATCCTAACCACCAAATAGTTTGTGGAAAAAAGTAAACGATTCATCAGCCCCATTCGCCAAGGTTTACTCATCAAAACCCGCGGCCGTGCCACACTGGTCTGCCATTGGCCATCGAATGGAATCGCACTGCGGCATTCTGTTCATCCGACAGCGGCTTGGATACATCACCTGGATGCACTTTCCACGAAAACTGGTATTTTGATTCAACACACTTCAACCACTTTTGATCGTTTGAACATGGGGTATCCCAGAAATGGCCTTTGCTGATGCACAAGGGTCGGTCCGCGGCTGTCGTTGCAGTGCATGTGCGAGAGAACACACTCATGTTGGAAGTAAATACCATGGTTTCCTCCATTTTTCCAACATCAAAGCATTGTTTCTTTTTGATGGCTGCTCTTATAATGTCGTGATTTTGAGGAGCCTGCACCGTGCTTTTTTTTGAGCTTTCCAAGTTTGACCAAGGATTTCCAGTCCACTGCAAGGATCTTTTGTGGAACATACAGTGGGATTAGAATTGTTCCCATTTTATTTCGACTGCCTAGAAACTTTGAAAGCCGCTGGATTTCTTGATTGATGTGTCGTGTCTGAAAAAAAAAAAGAGCATGTCCCGAAAATGGTAATTCTACAGGGGAACCTGATTGTGATATTATAATAATCCATCAATCAACTTTCAGGATCCCCTGTATAAACATTAACTTTAATATATGATCCCCTGTATCAATCATTCTGATATATGATTATAACATTAATTTATTATAATCCATCAACTTTCAGGTGTTCCATGGTTTTCCCAGCATTTTCAGACAAAGATTCAAGGGGAACAAGTGAGAATTTTACCACACATGTTCATTCGGGATTGTCAGTATACCATCATGAATTTTCTATGGTTTACCTCATGGATTGGGACCAGTGGCAATATTACAATATATTATAATATATTATAGTATATGAAAGTATATTATAGAATCACAACTATCGATATTTGGACCAGTGGCAATGATGATACTCGATCTCTTCCTGCATCACGTTCGCAACTGCCTGGACAATGGAAGACCAAGTCTCCACCCATTCCTGGGCGGGAGCTGAAGGTCCATGGTCCAGCCTAAGGGCCTAGGATTTCAATGCATTCAGATGGTTAGTGTTGGTTAGTTAGTTCCTATATATATATGTGCGTGTGTTTCTATATCAGGTTTAGTTTATATAAATATTACTCGAAACTTTAAGATATTTCAAGATATTGTCAATTCCATAGATCCAGGTGTCGATGCAATACGCAGAGAAACCTAGTGCACCCGTTCACGACGTGACAGGATCTGTTCAAAGCCATGGATCTCTACCACCACAGGGGGCCACAATGACTTTTTCCATGTGGAGCTAAAGAAATGGGCTCTGAAATGTCGAAATCGAGTGTTCCTATTGTGAGTTGTCTTTTTCCGGTGAAAGTACCAGGTAAGTTGAATCACACGGAAAAAGAAAATAAGCGTGCGAAGGACAAACATTGACCGGAAGGCAGCACCATCCAGCAGAGCTGACCCTCAGAAAACATCACACATCCAGACGATCTTCCTGCAGATGGAAACTAGAAGCACGACCAAATAGGCTTTGCAAACCACATTGTTTAGTTATCGTTTGAATCAACAATAGTGTCAAATCAGGACTCATACCCCCACTAGTACTTGACACCAGCAACAGTTCAAGTACCCTGTGGCATCCACTGGAACTTGTAAAACCCAACGGGTTTTTCAACCCACACTCAGTGTACAATCCCGAAACCGAACAAAAAAATGGCCGAGACTGGTGAAAAAAACCCATTTTTGCTCTTCGGTTCACCACAAATAGATGCAAATAGCGGTAGTGGAAAATGTTCATCCCCCATATGGTATGATTCGTATCGACACTTTTTCCGACCAGCTTTGGATAGTTAGTTTTGTTGCTGTCCAGCCATTAACCATCAAATTCTTATCATGAAATGGCATCAAAAGTCCCCATGAAAATCCCAAAAAAAAACACTGACCAACCATTGGCTTATAAGCGCTTAGAAACTATATATAACTAAATATAACCCAAACATACGAATTCATCAATTCTCACTACTAATTTCCATTAAACCGTCAAAAAATGATACGTGTTACCCCAACATCAACCAGCCACCGTGGCTTCATCAGCCCCAGTTTCATAGACTGCCATCTTACCAGGCCGGCCACCAGACAAGTCTCTGGCCACCTCGGCTCCGTGGAAGATGCTTTTCCCTTTGTTGGAACAGCGAGTTGTTTTTTTCCAGTGCAATCGTGTTATCACTTTGTTAAAACACATCCAAATGGATTAAATGGACCATTTGAACATGAACAACGAATGTGTTCGAATTTTTCCAGTGCGTGTCCTTCAAACCTTATGAATGTCCAATAACTCTGAAAGGTACACTGAGTCCCCCAACTTAGTCTTACTCGACTATTGGTCAAGCCATGGCTTATCCGAAAATCTTGGATTGAATTAATTACCATCAGATGTGTCGTTCTCAGTGTTCATTTTGAGATGCATGCCGTGAAAAACCTTGGAACCAGCACCTTTGAGACGATGGGCTTCAACATCCCTTAGACTCGTTCTTAGGTATAATATTGTTATTATATATATACATATATATATAATTATATAATTATATAATTCTATAAGTTGTTCTTCTTATAAACATTCTTATTCTCAGGTATATGAAGGTTTCCTAGTCATGAAGCTACTCCCAAATCCAGTCATGGATGACCATGACTTCATATAACCCATGCTGACGACTCCCGAGGGATCCCCTTGGTGACAGGTGGCCACGGCAGCGAAAAGCTCTGCGGCTGGACCTCCACCCATGGCGGCCACGCTGAAGGACCCCTCCTGGGGAAAAAAAAACAACTTTCGGCGGAAATTTCACCAGTGATGGGAAGCCCACATCATTTATTAAGCCCTTAAAATATAGGGATTTAACCATTCAAAATAATTCGTCAAAATAGGGACTTAAGATGATGTAAGCATTTAACAAAGGGACTTCAGCAGGCAAAATTCAAATTGGGGATGATTTGAATGGGAAGATAGTGGGGAATAATGTAGGAAGTGTGGACTTACAATGTTATACATACATAACTTAACCAATAATAATACACAACTTGGGTGTGTCCAAAAATTGGTATACCAAACAATCAAGTGTATGTTCAAATAAAACCAGATCTGGTGTATCATGCAAACGTTCCCACTCTAGTATGTCATTGATAAATCATAATAATATATCAGAATATCATACAATTGTGGATGAGGTGAAAAGGCTGGGGAAAAAAATACAGATAGGCTGCCTTGGAAAATCATCTCGATTGGGTCCGACATCCCCATAGTAAATTGCTAGGGATCCTCCACTTGCCTCTGGGACAAGAGCATGTTCCCTGAAACTGGAAAGCATTAGGGGAGTGGGCCTGGTGAACGTGCATTTGGAGAGGAACATATGACACAAACAGTCACAAACACATCAACTGGGCATTTCATCTCATCATGGAATAGATAATTATTACGGTTGATTCTTGAGTTACGGGCCTCTTAAAACCCGAGATCGCAAACTTCAGTTTGTTAAATCATCTCTCATCCTCCATCTTTTGCAGCTGCAGGGAGGAAAACCCTCACTTTCCATTAAAAAAAACAAGTTAGCATCTGGCTGCATAAAAAAAAATATCATGTGGCTCTTTTTTTGGTTTCAACGCATCGAGTTCGTTGCTTTAGGGATCCATCCGACGTAAAAATCCATGTGGCTCGGGATGGAACATATCACACACCAGTCCATTCCAAGGTTTCACCGGTTCTTGGATGGTCTTCCATTCTTCTGGACTACCGTTTTATGAAAAATGATGGCTAAGTTTCCACCGTTGTTCATGGTGAAAAATAGCCATTCTTCATAATTAAAGCCAAAAAACTTTTCATGATTAAAGCCGCAACTGTTCATGATGAAACCATCTTTAAACTCCCGTTGTGTTCCGCTTCGTGCTGGACATAAAAATCGAAGCGCGCTTCCACCGAGGCACCATCCTTCGTCGGAGAGCTGCAGGCGCAAAGCTGGTCAGCGCGTTGAAGGCCATGGAGGATCGGAGCACGAACTTCTCACGCGTGTACCTGGAAGCACCAGGTCTGGCTGCCATATAAAAATGGTACATGTATGGAATATATAGTGGATATATTGTGGGATATCATGGACACACACATATATGTGTATATATAGTGTATATATATATGTATATATATAGTGTATATATATGTATATGTATATATTTATAATTATTGATATATGGCATAGTGATGTTCCGAACAATTCTATGGGACCACCGCAGGAGCGGCGCGGTGATTCCACCACGATGAATTTACGGGGAAAAACATCTCCAAATCAGGATGATCACACTGGAAGACCCAAGTATGGATCATAAAAAACAGCCAACTTTCGCCTCTTTCGAAACCCATCTCACAGTGACATGATACTGACTGGCTCACAAGCCATGACAAAAAAAACACATACTCATTTCATGCTGTCAAAGATCTCACTGGAATTGCAGCAATTCATATGGCCTTGTCATGCTTTGTCCATAGCTTGTCCCTAGATTTGATGATTAATATTGATGAATCATAATCTTCCTGTTCCCCAAAAAAAGGCTGGGAGGATAACCCAGCAGCCATGGCATGCCATCCATCAACTCACAGCAGCTCTGGTGCGCACCCCCACAGGGCATCCACATCCTCAAAGTCTTCCGGCTGCTGCTCGCATCGCCGCATTTGACTTTGGACATCTCGAAGCTGCAACAAAAACCATGGCTTGGACAACCGGGCCTTTCGGGGATGTAGCCCTTTCTGAAAGGCCATATTATAACTGGGGAACTGATACGGTGATGCCAATGAGCTGTGGGAAAAACCCTGCATTAGTCCCACAGTGTCGCAGCGGCCTTCTGTGCCGTTTCAGCTGATGGCCTGGCGTCGATCAAAAAAAGCCAGTAATCCAACCAGCATGGCATCCATAAAGATCAATCGCCATAGATGCCATAGATGTAGGAAAAATATGGAACAGACATGAATAGACATGATGTGAATATCTATGTGAATATCTATGTGAATATCTATGTGAATATCTATGTGCGTTTTTTCCGCTCGGGTTCCTTGAAAAAAACCGCTGGCATGGCATGGCCTCTGACACAGGCTGAAGAGGAAACGCTCTGCCAGGTGCTGAAAGGGAAAGGAATCGCCTCCAGGCCATGGCCAGAATTGAACTGCCTGGGTGGCAGCACTGGCCCATTGCATGGGTCAAATGGCGGGGATAAAACCGTTTTGTGTAACGAAATTCCTTGATTGTGTTGAAATTGCCTTAAATGTATTGATTTTTGTTTTTTCGGAGCACAAGAACCACTCAGACCATGTCTATGTGTATGGATATATATATATACATACTTTGCGGATCCCAAAGAGTTTTCTTTCCCATAAGGTCTTCACTGGTGATATCCTCATTCTGAAGAAATTGCTGGTTCATTCCCATATTTCCCCTGTTTTATCGGTTGGTCACATCTCCTAAGTGGTATAAGTTGGAATCAACCCCAACCCATGTTTTTTCTACTCTTTCTTGTTTAAAAAGAACCCCAACTGCACCACCAAGATCTACGAGTACCAAGTCGTGACCAAACTGAGCCGTGTTCAAAACCCTCTGTCATCCCTTGCTGCGCACGGTCTCGGGGTGACACCAACCGAAGTGAGCATCACACCGCTTTCAGTGAGATGGAAAAGATGACCAGAAAGTGTGCGGTGTCATGTCAGGTAGTTGTTAGACAATTCACCGATTGGAATATTCTCTAATTACGAATTTGGTCTGATCAGCCCCCTCAAGCTGTTTCAGACCGGCTACGACTGGCTTTACGGCTTTGGTAGTATACCATTTGGTACCACCGCTGCCAATTGGTTGCACGGGCCTTTGGCATCAAGATTACGTCAACTGGGTGAACTGACACATTAATGGGAGGTAATGAAAGATCCAAACCAAAGTTTAAAGGCTAGCTTAGAGGATTTCTCAGGTCATGGATTGTGATAATCCACAATATCTTGGATAGCATATCATCCAATCATCAGTTATCAACTAGATCCCCATCTTTTGATACTTAAAGACCTTCGATACGGGCTGGAAGATTAGTTTCCACAACAAAAAAAATGTTCTTTTCTGTTATTTTCAAGGTCTATGTTAATTTACCAGAGCCCAACATGCCCAACCACTGCACAACTGAGGCGATGCCATGCCACCCCTTCTCTTGGCGGATCCCTTGCTCCCGCCCCAGGCAAGGGCAGTCGCGCCCATGCGGGGCCGTCCAGCTTCGGGGCAGGGCCCCGCGGGTTGAGGAGACCTCAAAGGCCCAAGGGAAAGGGACTGATGGGGACATAGGGGACCTGGAGTTGGTGGGAAAATGGTGAGGTTCACCATATCTTACCAAGAAAAAATATGAAAAAAAATTGAACCATCAAACACTTGGTGATTTTAAGCATCAAACATGGGGGATTGGACCTTCAAAATTGGTGATTAAGGGATTGGTTTAAGCTTGGATCCCGTCTGGGGAGAAATTCATCGAGAACTGCTAGCTATTTTGGCGTGAGCTACAGGATGGACAAGGAGCACAAGCTCCGCACACGAGTGGGTCTCAGCCAGATAAACAGTGGTATTCAAAAGATCAGGCCCCATGTGGGTCGAATGTTTTGGTCTTGGATCACCATGTTTAGTTTCGATGACAAGTGCCCTCAAATTCCGAAATTTTTGCCATTGTATTAAAAGAAAGTCAAGGGAACAAGGAGCTACAGTAGTCCTGAAAATCGTTCCAGCAACTTCATCACTTCATCACACACATGTAAACTATTCCACCCCAATTAGAACACCTGAATCTCCACGCTGAATCCGGGACAACCATTGTGAAGATGCCCGACATTTTGGGTCCCACCAAGCCGGCCATTTCTTTCTGGGCCGGTCGTTTGGCATTCCAAGATATCTATAGATATCTCAAGTCTGTAGAAGTAGGAACAGGGCCCACGAACATTACTAGAAATTCATTCCGAAACTCCCAAACTCCATGAGGTTTTCAATGACCACCTGGCAACCAACCAAGGCAAATGCCACATGTCAACAGAAATGGTTGGTTCCCTTTGAAAACTTTGCAGTCCAGAAATCCCAATGGTTTTATCATCATATTAGTTCCCAACTTTCATGGCAATTTTGCGGCAACCCACAGCCTCCCACATCTTATCATATTGTTGCTTGTATAATCTTATAATATTTGTTCAATATATATATATATATACCCGTATATATAGTTATGATATACATATATCATTTTTTCTCCAAGTACATGCCATATGGCTATATGTCATAACCACATTGGTATATCCTCATGTCAGTCATGGATCTTATATCATACATACATTCCATATTGGGATAATTTCACCTAATTATAACTAATTATACATACATGTGGTTTCTATGATCTTACATTATCTTACATTGAATTCTATGGTATATCTCGATGCTTGGCTAATGTTTGATACCATCTTCTACCCCCACGTGTGCTTCAAACCCTGCCAGGTGTCGCTTGCGATGCGTCTTGCCCGCTTCATGCAGGGGCCAGGACTCAGGAGGGCCCGTCCTGACTGACCAGCCAGCTGAAGCATGGCTGAAACCAGCATCACTTTGATGATGTTTTGCAGTTTGGATGCTTTGATCATGGATAATTATCTGATATCATCTGATCGTTTCATCATTTATCAATCTGATGTTTCGATCATGGATCATTTTACAGCTGAGAATGGATCATTGTGATAATCGTTTGACAATGGTTTGATAGTCTATCCAGTAGCAAGTTTGATAATGTTTTGCAGCTGATAATGGTACCAGTGGTTTACCACCCTTTGTTGAATCGTAAGTTCATCCATTCGTTGTCCCCAGAATCCTGTCTACTGGTGCTTTTGGGGGTCCACATTGCCCGATGACTTACACTGCAGCAATGCGTCCAGAAAAGCTGGCAAATCGCACAATGATGTGCCTGCGGGAATGTGGACATTCGCAGCATCTGTGAGGATTTCCATATATATATATACATAATTATATATAGTTATAGTTATATAGTTATATATATATAGTTATATAGAGTTATATAGAGTTATATATAGAGTTATATATATATATAGTTATATAGAGTTATATATAGTTATATATAGTTGTATATAGTTATATATAGTTATATATAGTTATATATAGTTATATATAGTTATATATAGTTATATATAGTTATATATAGTTATATATAGTTATATATAGTTATATATAGTTATATATAGTTATATATAGTTATATACAGTTATATACAGTTATATATAGTTATATATAGTTATATATAGTTATATATAGTTATATATAGTTTTATATATAGTTATATATATATTAGTTATATATAGTGTTATATATATATACATAGTTATATATATACATAGTTATATATATATATATACATAGTTATATATATATAGTTATATATATAGTTATATATATATATAGTTATATATATATATAGTTATATATACATATAACTATATATATATGTGTGTGTACAACATTTCTGGCAAGTACAACCTATCATCAAACATGATCACATTGGATCCTTGAGTGGAGTGTTCTTCAGCTACTGATATGAAGAAAAACCTGCCAATCACCTGGCCTCCATGGGTGCATCGCATGAAGGCGCCGCCGTGGCTGGAAATCAGCTTGACACCACGCTGTTGTCCATTCGTTGTGACCAGTTGTCCCAGAATTGAATCCGCCTCAAAAAAAAATGGAAATCATCATGAATCACATATATATATATATCATGTTCAACAGGTAAATCCATGTAAATCCACGACTGGAATGAGTTTGTTTCTGGCAATCCATGTTTGTTTACCACGGGATACGCAAAACCATGCTGAGCCGAAAGGCTTGACTGAACAAATCGATGGATGTGGAGAAAACACAAGGAACAGTATAGCCTTTCCGTAACAAACATCAGAAAATCAGTGGATAAATCTGACTTGTTTCTACCAGCAACGGTGCCATCATCTCCGTGGCGTGCTGGAAAATCCCCCATCAACACGACTGGATGGTGCTTCACAGTCCTCAACGACTGCTCAATGGCTATCCAGTGAATTAGGGCTTATTAATGTTATTACCCTCTGGTTATTTAACATAGCCATGGAAAATCACCATTTTTAATAGGTAAACCATCTATAAATGGGCCATTTCCCATAACTATGTTAAATAACCAGAGGGTAGTTATAAGATGTTAGAAGACAGTAATCCCCAAGTTTCATCAGTTAGGTCAATAACCCGCAACAACTTAACCCATGAACAGCTGGGTATAACTTTACAGCTGGCTCCATTGGGTTGGTCTGAAAACAACGGTACCCCAAGAGCCGCGAGTGCAGCGAGTTTATCATCATCTTTTGAATCTGTTCCCAGAAAACTGGCCATATCTTGGGAGATCAGTTCCCCACTTTCAGACAAACCCCTATATATATATATACACACACGAAATAATGTTGATTATATATATATATACATATACAGTACACATTATATCATAGACAATATTGTTTCATATTGTATCCTTGTATTCTATCCCCTGTTAAATCCCCAATCAGACTATCAAAACTCCCACCATGTCCTGAATCATATGTGCCAAGGTCGTGGTTTTGTGCAGCACTACCTGCCGGGAGAAATCTCCCATGCTGCCCCAAGGCTGTGCCGGCAGGATGCTCCGGTCAAAACAATGTGAATAGGGTGTAAGGTTTTTTTTTGTTCAGCAAAAATACACCACCCTTATTTTGATGGTTTATACCACCCATAAAAATTGCCAAAATGATGGCTAAACAATTGGGATATACACCAGGTTTAAATATGACATATGGCGGTTTCCAAAATGGGGGTCCCAAATCATCCCGGTCATTAGATCATTTTTTAATATTGAAACAACCATGGTGACGACTGGGGATCCCCCATGACTTGAGAACCCCCAGATATGGCTAATGCGGGAAACCCAATAATATACCGCCCCCAATTTTGCCAGACATAGATGGTAAATAGCCATTCCAATGAGAGCTTCATGGCATTGGGTGAATGGGTAAATCCCACATACTTGGTGAGCATTTAAGACCTCGGGCCCGGGGATCACATTGGCCATTTCTAGTATTTCAAGAATACAAGTTCCCATCAAATTGTCAGGGCTGCAGTATCTAACTAAATTCTTAAATACATACAATATGGCTGCAGAGTATCACGGATATACAACCAACAGCTACTGGAAAGTGGCAATTGAAGACTGAACCATAGATTGGCTTCTGGGCATTGCTGCCCTATTGGCGTTCCTTTGGAATGGCTGTTCAATCCATATTAAGCCATGGATGCTCAACTGATATATTCGGAACCAATATCATGACCACAATTTCCTCACTCTTGTTATATTTGACATATCTCCCGTTGTGCAGGCGCCCCATATCATATCTTGGGCTCAATGTAGGAGAACAAGAAAAAAGACATTAGAGGCATTAGAGTCCCCGTACGACTTATTGTTGATTGATATAAACCGATAAAATAATCAAATAACCACATCCCCCATTCAACCACATCCCCCATTCATATTAAAACACCCCAGAAACCATGATGGATATGGGGGATAAAGAACCCATATTTGGGACCATAGAATGGAAGTGTTCCATATGAAAGGGAGATGGCATTGATCCATCAGAAAATCATAACAAATCATAACCCATTAAAGTAATCAACTTCAATGGATATATTGTTGATTGATAATCCATTGACATCTATGTTGACATCATCAGTCTGACTGCCACCTGTTCCGTTCCTGCTGCTTGGCAAAGTCGTTGTCATCCGACAGTTGGAGCTCCTGAAAGAGTTGAGGATATACCATATAACATATAAATGTGGGACATAGTTATAGACATCACGTTCTATAGATATCCCATCATTATAATTATATATATATATACATATCCCCATCTGCCATCTACTGGTTATACATGGCTCTATAGACGAATATATATATATATATAATATGAGGATATTATAAACCAGTTCAATGTGAAAACATGGGGATATAGGTATTCTAGGGTCAATGAGCAGAAGTGCTCCAACCAGCATCACCCCTAGCAAGAAAGCATTGGGATGCAGCTACAACGTGGATGTTTTTGGGTCCCAAAGCCATCAACTGCGAAGTTTTGGTGGACGAGTTTCTTCAATTTGGGCTGCCCTTACCATGGTACCACCAGTCAGTAAGTCGATCATCGCAGTACCTATCACACATGATAAGCATACCAGTGAAAATGCTATATGTTGTTTAGGAGTATGTGTTTATATAGTTTATATATGTGTATTCTTTTCTTTTCGATACCACCAAACAGTAAAATTTGGCGGCGGTCAATGTTGCTTCTGATGTGGTGTTTACCCAATGATGGTTGAAAATCCCAGGATTCCTCCAGTGACATGGCAAACTTCTGTCGCGCAGCCTTAAACAAAGAGATTACAAAGAGAAAGGCAACTGGTGTGCCCTACAAACATCCAAAAATATCGAAAACAAGGCATATCTGGAATCAAAACAAGTCTAACAAGTCGAAATTTGACGCAGAGATTGAACACATTTTACATAAAGCCCTGGTGGTAGGATTGGTGTGTGCGTAGCGCTGAGCTTGCGACAAGTCCATCCAGGATCATCCAGGTGTCGAACAACTCTTCATTGTCCTGGGCCAAAAAAAAACAGGACATGTCAGTAATATGTTGATGTCATACATAATATATCATATATACCTTCCTGCTAAGATGATCTAACATGGCTATGGAAATCACCAGTTTTAGTTCATAGCTAAATCATCGAACTAAATCTATAAATGGGTGATTTAGTTGAATCCTTTGATACTTGATACGTGACACATGTATCGAAACATCACATAGCCACTGGTTATTTAATGTAGCTGTGGAAACTCCGCATTTTTCTTTAATGATAGGTACAGTAAATCAATGTAGATCATCATAAATCATCTGTAAATAGACCATGTTCCATCGCTATGTTAAATTACCAGATGGTATCCAAAATAGATATCTGTTAATTTTTCTGGGTCTTTTTGCCTAAATGCCCACGAAGGATGGTCCTGAATCAGACCTCGGAAGGTTCCCTCGTCCTTGCGGAGATTTTTCCGAGATTGATGTCTGCACCTCAGGAATTTCCAAGCTGCTCCAGGCTTTCTCTCTTGTTGGGTGCAGTTCTCCACATATAAAAACGTATGATGACAGTCATCCAGTAAACTCACAAGATCCTAAAAAAAAACATGTTCTGTTCGTGTTTTTGTCATGGAAAAAACATAGTAAGTACCCACCATGGCGCCATGGGAACATGACAGATAATCATCCCCCCAGTGTATCATCCAATACATGATATATACACTGAGAAAACTTCGTGGAATGTTCCTTTTTCCTCTCCGTGAGGCCAGGGTGAGCCGCTCCGAGGGCGGTGGCAATATCTTCAACATATCTTCAACTTTGGCAATCCTGCAAGCCGGAACTTGGAGAAGTGTTCTCCTCAGTCCCTCCCAAACAGACGAAGGCCATCGGCGGCCAGTGGCATCGGTTTGACGAACTCGCCCAGGTTCCGCAGTTGACTGCCATCATCTGCCCGTACCAAATCATCTCCTCCGGCCACTGCACTGTTAAGAGGTGACCAGTGCCCAAGATGAAGTCAGTTGAGTCATGTTGAGTCTGTCATAGTCTGTCATTCGATCGTTCTAGGATCGCGGTTCACGTTTTTCAGGGCGGCATCTGCCAACATTCGCAAAGTTCCCTTCTCCAGTTCTCTCCAGTTGCGTTTCCAAAGGGCAGCTGCTCGAAGTAAAGCAACCAATCGTTTTTCCTGGCTTTCACCAATCCCATTCTCCCCATTCTCTCAGTATAGAAGATTCCCCTCAATAAGGGACCCGGAAATGAATGTGAGTTCCAACTTATACCCAATGCAATGCTATCCAATACTAAGTTCCAAGGTTTCTAAACGCATCAGAGGCCCATATTGGGTCTGGAGTGTTCAATCTTATCGGAATGGATAGGATATACCCTCTGGTAAACTAACATAACTATGTATGGAAAATCACAATGTATTCATGGGTAAATCAACTATAAATAGCCATGTTCAATAGCTTTTTGTATGTTTACCAGAGGGTATGTTAAGGGGAACGAATTCCCATCCATCAGTCTTCCTGCGTCTCCATCAACTTGCCGTAGACGTTGCGAATGTGTTGCCGTGTCTGTTGGATACCTTGGAGTTCTCGAGGTAAACTCTCCTGGTGGCAGGTGGGTCATGTCGTCTCGACATGGGGTAGACATGGGTAGACCCACACATGATGATTCTTATTGTTGATATATGTGGCTTTGATGTACCCCAACACGTATGGCCATGATGACTACTATTGTCATTATTGCTATCACTATCATTATAGTTATTTACAATTTGCTATCATGGCATATCATGGCTTATGATTTGGGGTGCACAAAATGACCAACAGTTCTGTGATGTTATGAGTATTGTGGGTGCATTTTTTTGTGCCATGGTCTTAATTTCGGATCCATACGAAGGTCACCTGAATTCAATTCAAGACCCATGCAGGACGGAAATTAGACTGTCGAAATCGATGCTCCCTGAAGGCAAGCAAACTTTTAGGAGTCCTGGTGCCGAATTTTCACTGGCAAACCCTTTTTATCTGGACAATCTGCACCCAAAATAACCCGCAGTGTAAACTGGGGGGTGCAGTTGGGGTTCTGAGTGGGTATCACCATGATTAGACAAAAAAACCGAAGTTCGGATCTAACCCTTATAAGTATATGGCCATTTATATTATATAATACTTATAGCTGGAAACTGCATCCCCAAGAACAGGTTCATATCGAGTTGAAAAAAGGCCCAACATCTTCAAACGTCGCCCAAATATTGCACGGTACCTCCCAATATGCCTATAGAACCTCTAAGCTTCTAAATTAAGAATAATCCCGTCCACCTCATACTAACCCCTGGCCAGAAACCATGATTTAGATTGATCTAGTATTGGTTCTATTGATTTGGGGGATCCTATGGTTTTGTATTTCACCTTCGGGAAACGAGGAAATGTTGTACCCATCCCACCTGAAACCGCCAGACCCATCAATTAAGCTAGGCCCTGTTTCAATCAGCGCAGCAGGATCACATGCCATCTTCTCTGAGCGAAGCAAAGAGATCTTCTCCCAGTCAATCAACTCGTCCTTTGCCGGGCAGCGGGTGAAAAAAACGTCCGAAACAGCACCAAACGGGACAGAACCAACCAAACAAAAAAAGACCAACAGCCTTGTCCTCAGCAACTTAAGTATGAGGCATGACTTGCCATCTTCCAGCATTTTGAGCCAGGTGTCAAGTGGTAGTTTCCATCCATCCGCCAAGATCACAGGAATAGCTTCCCCATTCAACACCTCCATCAGTCGGTAGCTCCAGCGCCCATGGCCGTGCAACACCAGGCCATAGGCCGAATCGAAGAGGGAGAAATATGGCCTGGGGCACCCCGAAAATCACCGTGTGGTACCCATGATGAACCACAAGGTGAGAACCCCCAGTTATAAGATTAGTTTATAAATCCATTGACTATATATACATATATATATTGTACCCCATAAATCCATAAGCCCCTAGTTAAGCATGTTATAAATCGTTATAAGTCGTCAACTTAGCTATCTACGGGGCATCACCTTGCACCAATGTGTGGGTTTTTAAGGAGCCAATGTGTTTGGACTGGTGACGGCCTTCACACACCTGGAAGTACAGGGAGACTTCCAATCCCAGAGCTTTGTAGTGCTTGAACTAGGGTAATTAACGTGTTAAACTCAGTAACAAGCCATCCCATTCACCAACCATTCGGAGGTCATTCTCCATCCCAAGACGGGTTTTTTTCAACCTCTATGGTTTACCATTGGGCTTACTGCAGGCACACTAAATTCGAAGCCCTTTCGATGGCACCCTTTTGGTGCCTCATTTCTTTGTGGCGTTGTGCTTTGTCGGCAATGGCAATGAACACGTCAGATGGCAGCATGACACTGGTCATACTCGGCGAGCCTGTCGGGCAGCCACTGAGCTCTGGTCGGCGGATGGACACGTTGAGCATTGCTTCCAGGTTGCCACGGACATAGGATGCCCCGTCCAGACCATTGTTCCGAATCCCTTGGAAGGTGAGAAAGTACTTGGGCGGATCAGAAGGTTTCACCTGACCCAATTGCGCGCGGAGTTTGCACTGGTTGTCATGTTCTTTCACCAAAGCTTTTGACCTGAAAGAAAGAATATGAGTCTCTCTACATAATACATTGACAACAAAATCACGTTTTCATGGCTTCATACTAACATACGTAATTGTTAATTATGAACATCTCTGGTAGTTTTCATCCATCCCCACCTTGTTGTTCTTCAGTTTTTCTGGTGCCGGGATGTGATGCACATGCGTCACGCCCGGCACCAACAGTGCGGAGTCGTTCTTCAGATCCCAACCCCTGAGATCTGAGGAGGAAAACATGAAATCTCGACGCGCCAGGAGCTTGACGATGTTCGGATCCTGGTGGTTGCAGATCCTGAAAACCCCCAAAATCCAAGGGATAAACAATCCTGAAAAAAAAGCTGGACTGGTGAATTGAAACATGTATGGAGTATGTACATACATGTGGTATACATGTGGTATACATGTGGTATACATACCTAGAGACTCATGTATCCAAAATTTCGGGCGCATTCCCAACCTACAAAAAAATCAGGCGCAAGTCCACAAGAATGGCGCAATGTAGAAAACATGGCGCAATTCCACAAAAACGGCGCAATGGAAATTCTGCACGGGCAAGGACGGCGCAATCACGGGCAAAAACGGTGCAATCATTGGCAAAAACGGCGCATTCCAACACCAAAATCTAAAACCATATTTGTTTCCCAAAGAACGGCGCATGCCAGAAATTTCAGCGGCAATCAGATGAAACACTGTTTTGCTAGACCAGCATCAAAATTTTGATGCCGCTCGAGTCTCTAGGTATATGATATATGTATACTGTATACATGTATACATATAATTTACATATACACTAGATTTTAGGCCGGTGTTCAGTAGCAGGGGATTATTCAGGGCTTTAGTTGTGGCTAAACGCCGTCGTGCCGCCCGATGCAAAATGAATTCACTTCAATCAATATTTGGCAATTGGACATTTTCGTGACCCCATCCCGTCCCATGTTCAGAAAGAAAATACTCCAAAAAAATCTATGCTCCCAAATATGTGTATATAAATCCCTCACAGCCACCATGGTTTCTTCGGAGGATGTTTAATATGAACCGGGGATAGCATTAATCATAGCTGAATAGATATTAACCACTATATTAACCACTATATTCCCATTAAAATATCCCAGGAAATCACAAAAAATCATGATTTCTGAGGCCTGGAAAATCATGGAAAACATACCAACAAATTGCCCTGGCCCCTGGCCTTCCGTCCCCTGGCGCCAAGTCTCGCAGTTTCGCCGAATCTGACACTTCTCTTGCGCCAGCGAGCTCAGTTGCAGCTTGGCGTCGCAGTCGTAACCTGACGCGGAAAACCGTGTCCAACGTCCAAGGGCCGGTCCCCTAAAGGCCCTGGTCTTGAAGCCACATTTCACCAGCAATGGGGGATAAACGGATAAACCAACCACGGAGATACCATAGGAATCCATAGGTATCTCAAGACATGTATTGAAATGTGTCACAAACATTCACAAACAATGTCCCCTTTGGAATTGTCAATAAATGTGTTGTTGTCGTCCTGCGGAACGTGACAATGAAGCATGGGGCCCAGCACCCGCCCAAGGAACAAAGGTATGGCCGGTCAGGCGTTCGTGGTGGCAGCTCCAGAAATCGTTGCACTGGTCCGCAACACACGATGTAAAACACTGCCTGCCAACGACCCATGAAACTCATAGGCATGAACATCTCGAACATGTCCAGTAAAAAAACGTTTGAAATTATCAAACTGATCTGAGTCTGGATATGGAACATTTCCTGACAGATTGCTTTTCAGAACTATGAGAGTCTGAGACATCTGTTTCTTGTCATGAACATTTCCGTGGAAGCCTTCAATCACTTCAATAACCTCGTCAAACATGGAATTCCAGCATGAATTTGATGGACAGTAGAAGTGCAATTATGACCAAAACTCGGGCATCCTGCACCCCATCAATTTGGTGCGGGGGCAAATCTTTGGACATACACGTGAATCATTTGGGTAGATGTTTGCAAACCAACTTGAACAACACACCCTGAGAGAAGCAACGAACATGGAAACAGAACACAAATGAACATACTAAATCAGATTGACTGGCTAACCGGCTAATTCCAACTGATTCCCCAACTAATGATTCCCCACATCTTCCAAATATTCATGCGGGAGAATCCCCTCATATCCATTTTTCCAGTAGCTCCAGCACCTTCTCCGGCTCTTCCACAGTGAAGTTCCTTGGCGCGGGATACGGTGGATGCACCTTGAAGTACCTGAAAGTGGACTTCAGTTCAAACATCAGCAGGTTCAAACATATCCCAAATATATATTCCAAATAGTTATCCAAATATCCTATTCAACTATCATAAACATGATAAATGATGATTGGGATGCTTACTTGTTCGATTTTGGAGACAATGTGCTTTTGATGCGCACTAAGCGGATACTGGTGATGCAAAAAAACAATTTGGCCTTGGCCAGTTTGATACATTTTTTTGATCATAAAGGTACAAGCTGGAAATGCACAAACATGGCATGGTAATGGAGTTTTGTCAATGGAGTTTCTCTTGGAGAGGAAACCATCACTATTTTCTCAGTGTCAAATTTACTGTAGAGTACATGAACATCAGGAACCATCAGCCATGATTCTGGGTAAATAAAAAAATATTTCACTCACCTGAATTGTTGGGCCATTTTGGGATGATTCCCCGAATCCTAACTATGATTATAGTGAGGGAGAACAGTGAGGTCGTGATGAAATTTACCCAGATGATTGCAAGCTGCGTTCGTGTGCAAATCTTCCCAGCGTTCGCAGCTTTTTTCCGCCGCTGTGATTCCATCGTACTGGTTGGAGAATAGGGATTCCGGTCGTGGATTATGATAGCCAATACCCTCTGGTTATGTCAAAATAGCTATTGAAAATGGCCATTTATAGTTGATTTTCCCATTAAAAATGGTGATTATCCATAGTTATGTTAAATTACCAGAGGGTATATTGGATAGTCCAACCCCCTATAATCCTCCACCAACTATCTCCCGGATTATCATATCCCTATCGTTTGATGCTAAAAGACCCTATCAATGGTGATGAAATCACCAATCAATACACCAGGGCCACCAGCAGTCTCTGCGCTGTCAGGATGCCAGCGTTGGAGTTCTCGGATTCGCAAATCCTTCCGAAGCATCAAGGTTTCTTCAATGAAGACCGGAGCAAATTCGTGAACCGGAGGATCTCCATCAAACACCTCAAAGCCAGGCTGACATCTCTTGGTCGCACTGACTATATATATATATATATACACACCTATATTATATATATATATATATATCCCTGTATATTATATATATATATATCCCTGTATATAATTATACATATGCTCAGCGCCAATACATGGACCTACCTTTTTCCACTGTTGCCACTCTCGCGAAACATGTGTATGTATGTGTATATATATATATATGATTCTACATATGTTTTTTTTTAAATAATCTATGGTGATTGGATGGTTCATCCCATGCACGCCCTCTGGTAAGCTGGTACCGGTAACGCTTCTCCACTCATCCCAAACGTGGATGGAAGGCAACAGAAAATCGAACATGGCGAAATCAGATATTCCACACAACCATATAAAGAATAGATACAGAAGTACTAATAGATAATGTATGTGTATATATATAATATAATATATTATATTATATTATATTATATTATAAACTATATAGATACTATTCAAATCAAAGAACAAAAACCTGTTTTCTCCCGAACTTTGCCCCTTTTCGAATCCGGAATGGCCCACAAAATGCTTCAGTGGACTCAACGGAGTGAGTTTTTCGCAAGTGCACCATTGGTTGCTCTTTGCTGAGTGTATTATATATAGCTCATATATATATATATGCGATTGATATGGTACAATACCAACAAAAAAGACCCTATTGCACAATACTAGATATATATATATATATAGTATCAACAAATCATTTCAATATACACATTACAAAATATTACAAATACATGATTATGTGTAGAAGATCATATAGATGTATATATATATATATGTATTATTTATTATTATACAAATACATAAGTTTATGATATCTTATCATAGATTTTCATCTACATCTACAGATCCTCGCCTTGAAGGGCGTCTCCTCAGCTTTCCCCGTGAACTCCGTGGACGGCGTTGTGGACCGCCTCACTTGGCATTGGAAAATGGTGCTTCACCATGGAAAAACCCTGAAAAATGATGGTTTAAGCATAAGAACCGGGGTGTTTGAAGGGGGATTCAGCTTGAAACATATGGGTGTTGATAAATGATGGTTGAATCATGACTTCATCATCAATAGAGATTTTAACCAAATCGGAAAGTCAAATGTGGATATTCCAACCATTGATGTCCTCAACATCCACTCCACATGTTCTTACTTCAGCACTAAAGCATCCAAATCCTGGTAGAGTCAGACGATGTCAGACGTGCGTGGGCCTTGTTGGTATCCGCGTCTGGGGATCTTTTTTTGACATCCTCGGGGATCCGCCAAAGTCCAAAGTCATTGCACGTGAAGAGAAGCAACGCCAGCCTTGCAGGGATTTCACCAAGGGGACCCTGCAGTCAGCCGCTACCCTCTGGCAAACCAACAATTTGATCTGGAAAATCACCCGTTTTAATAGGCCTAAATGTGACATATTCTAGAGCTATGTTAGTATTGTTAGTTGACCGCAGGGTAGTCTTTAGCATGTTGGTATGTGAAACTGTTTTTTCTCCATTCATGGATCAACTCTTAAGAGCTGATGATAAGTGTCGTTTGTTTCACACAAAATCAAGGTCTGTTACAAACACTCTCATAGAATGACATGTGGCAGTGGGTCAAAACCCTATCCCCCTTCTGTTCACATCAAAATAGCTGGTAAATGGATGGTCATTCCCCTAAAAATGGTATTAATAGGTTTTGACACACTGCCATGTCTGTTAGAATATGTTTGAATGGTTCACTTGATATCTTGATATATCTTGACAATGTCAACTGTCTTCTCTGTCTTCTCCTGAGACTTATGTTGTGCCGGACTGGTTTTGGGTTGAAGAGATTTTTCTCCTAGTAGCGCGTCTGTCATTTCTTGTTTCTGGGTAGTTTCCGAAGTTCAAGCCTGTCTGAAGGTACAGTATCTATATATTATAGAGCCTAAAATCTTGGACACTCGCAAACATCTATTAAGCCATCATAGCCTTCTACAATTTTTTCCGGGAATCCCCACACCACATTGTTTTTTCAACCTGGTCGACAAATTTGGTCGTGGCCAAGAGGCAATAGAAAGATCTGGCAAAAGCGCAGAGGGCCCCAGCCACAAATCATCCGCAAAACTTCGCAAAACGGATCCGATTGCTTAAAGTGACTGTTTGGATGTCGGATGATGTCGGTATGTCAAAGTCTTGTGGGGATGGGTCAAAACCCTGGTACCTAGTGAACCCCAAAATAGCTGGTAAATGGATGTTCATCCCACTAAAAATGTATCTATAGGTATTGACCCATACCCTTGTGTCAATGCTGTTAATTTTACCACTGGAAAGTCTGGATCTGTGAAAGAACGGTGGATCTCTACAGCATCGATCCAGGAGCGCGGGATCCAAGAAGCTGAAATCGATCAGTTTCGTATACACTGTACAACTATTAATGGTTGTCCTTGTTGTAAATGACTTTCGATTCTGTGTATGTATATATATATATATACATGTATTATTGTGTATATATAATAAATTCCTCAGCTTAGTTTCTCAACCTGAAACAAACAACTTAGGGAAATTCAGGTCCCACTTTGGATTTACGTTTGATATACCGTTGCAGCGTTGCATCATCTGCGAGGCTCCGACAAATGCCGTTGGACCTGAACGGATGTGCCAGGAGAATGCAGGATTTGCCGATGAACATATCTTGGTGCATGTGAAAATGAGCATGATTGGCATTAATAGGGTATCTGATTAATATCTGATTCATAGTGTATCTGATTAATCATCACTATCACTTTGATCACTATTTTATGGGCATTTTGTTCAGTGATAGTGATGATTTTTCATCAGCGGATTTGGTGCTTCTCCCATAGTTCTCGGACCCATAACTTGAGCCACGACATGTTTTGGGTCAATCATGTTGGGAATCACTCCCAGCAATATTCAGTGGGAAACCCATCTTTCCCGCGTAGACGGTCTACTTGAAAGATCTTGAAAGTGAAGACGCCAAAAAATGTGGTGCCCACCCCCCCGGTTTTTGCTATAAACCCCGTGAATCCAACTTATTTAGCCAAGCAAAAGAAACCAACTTAGCAAATGCTTAGGGGCACCATTATCAACAACTATTACCATCAATAACCAAAATAGACATATTTTCATGAACAAAATATGCTTATACTATATAACCCATTTCCCAATCATGAACAGCCATTATTACTGTTGTCCGTTACAACTAATTAACTAATTAACAACCATTATATAAATTAAACCCATTTTTGACCTCGGCAAAAAACATCGGTATTTACGGTGTTTTTTGCTTCGAGAGTGTCAAAAAATGCGAAAACACCATCTATTTGACGATTTTTAGGGGTGCACAAAAATGCGAAAATAAGCTGTTGTGCAAGAACAACGACGACGACAACAAGAAGAAGAAGAAGAAGAACAAGAACAAGAACAAGAACAAGAACAAGAACAACAAGAAGAAAATCAAGCACAAACATGCGACAAAACGATGTGTGGTAAGATGGTTACAAGCTGCGGTATGACAAGAACATCACACTGTGCTCTGCACCTGCTCGCACGCGCAGAGCACATGAACAACACCAACGCTCACACTACTATACATAGCCCTTATGGCATCGCCGGTGTGCGAAGCTCTACAATATGGCAAAAATTGCTTTGGCTCCAAATGAACATGCCCAAGACTGAAGGTACTGACAAGTTTCCCCTCTACATCTTTGAGTTGCCTTACACACATACACAAAGGAACAACACAAGGTTGTTTAAAGGTGGTGCTGTGGCACAACTATAAGAAATAATATACGCTACAAAATACTGTAAGATACTGGGTTTGCTTTGGTGCCTACTGGGGGCAGGGGGGCAGGGGCCTGGCCCAGACCTAGAGAACTAAAATTGTAGCTAGCTAGGGTTGTGCTCCAAAAAACTGTTCCAAACTGAGATTTTGTTTAAAGGATTTTTTTGGTGCAAATGTTGTGCTAGTCTGGTGCTTTTTTTACCTTGAAAATGGTGCTTTTGTTTGGTCTTGTTTTTCTTCAAAATGGTGCTCCTAGCTGGTGTAAAATTTGTGCTCATCTGGTGCTTGTTTTCTTCAAAAGGACGTTTGTGGTATCCAGGATGCAGTTTGGGAAGTTCGAACACTGCGTAGGGCCGTAGGAGGTGACCTTTGGGCAGGCATACGTTCGATATTGCGATAAAATGCGATAAAATGTACCTGGATGGTTTTAGGGACTCAAATAAGCCAGGCTCAAGTAGCTTGGTGTTTCCACAGCAATGGTCGATTGACACAGCGCTTCTTGAGCACGTTCCCATGTGTTCCTAGTTCTCAGACGTTCTCAGATGTTCTATGACGTCCTAAGATCTTCTGAGATGTTCCCAAATGTTCTAAGTGTTCATTCATTACTTCCGCCTTATTCCAGTGGCACCACGCTTGCATCAGCTGTTTCCCTGTTTCCAAGGCCAGCGCCAGGAAACACATGGGGAAAAAGTTGGACAGCACCAGCCTCAGAGATCCAAACAGGAAGAATAAAACATATTTTCAATATTTTGTATAGAAAATATAGATATAGAATGAGTCAGTAACGGTAGATGAGCATCGTATAGTATCTTGGCATTGTATAGTTCAAATCTTACGCAACAAAAACAGGTGGCCCGAGACCATCAGGAAAGTCTTATATAACAAGAATCCCATCAAGAAAACCATGGTTTAACAACAGGAATTACAATGACTGACGCATATTTGGAACATGTTGGAACCATAGAATGGACGGTGTTTCATAAGAATGCTTTACTGCTTAGATTTCAACAGGCCCCAAATTTTGGCCCATGCCCATACGTGTCATGACCTGACCATGGGATGATCTGGAAAGACCTAAGGACCTTTTTGTTAGGGGCCGCCATGTCACCTATGTCATTCCCTCACATCTAAGGAGACCAATTTCCTTTTTAAAGGTCATGGTGACAAATGGTGATGCGCCGCGCAACTGTTTTACTTCAAGCATTGTGCAGGTGGTTTTTGTTGGTGGCTAGGCCAGAAAAGGCACTGCTTGTCGCGAAGCGCAAGCACTGAACTCATCTTCTGAGACGCGCGATGACACAAAAGGTGGAGCCTTATTCCCCGAATTCGAGTGAAGGTATCATGCAAGACTGCGTGATATGTTCAAACAGAAATGTAATACCATACTAAGATACAATGCGTATATGTGTGTGTACACATACTGCGCATGCATAAATGATCATAAATGCATATGCATTATATTAACTAGTTATACATTTTTCCATTGAGTGTGTCGTATATACATGGATCATCATGGATCAAGAACAGACCTATCTCCCTAGCAGGTCCTAGCAGTGTCAAAGTGTCATTGCTGCTTCGCTCAAGCCCAGGGGGCCCAGGCCCACAACAAGCCAATGATTGATGAAAAAAATCCTGCCAATGATTGGGCAAAAACCCTGCCAAACAATTGAGAAATCACCATGGATTTGCATGAATTGATGATCTTCAATTCTATCCCCATGTTTGCTGATATATTCCCATTATTGTTGGTGAACTGTTGGTTTGATGTTGATTTGGTGATCCACAGAAGGAATCAGTTTCCACCATCTTTCACCATGACATCAGCTCACAGTGCCAAGCTGACCCCACAGCGCATACCTCGAGCAGCATCCACATCATATGTCTGGCGACTTTTGAACAATATCGAAAATTCAAACATGTTTACAATCAGACATGTCCAATGACGGACCTGGATTTAATGATTTAGAAGGGTGGCCCTAGGGCACATGGTCGGCCCCCAAGGGAGTTCGAATCGCTGCAAAAAGGGCAACACCAAGTGAGAAGTGCCACGACGTACATTACAAATAAACATGGAAAAATGTGTGTGTGTGTGTGTCCAAACTTGGAAAATACCACAACCATGGACTGCATTAAAATAGACCATGAAACATAACATCATTGACTTTTGGAGGTCCAAGAGTAGCTGTACAGGCTTGGTCCCTCCGGAAAACATATTCCACATTCTTACCAGGACTACAATACATTGTCTATCCAAGAAAACATGAACATCGGTTGCATAGATCATTCTTCAAAACAATGGTCTTAAGATATTGGCATGGTAACTTGCAATGGTGCATTGAAGCCTCAGGTTCCATCTGAAATTTCATAAACATATACATGGTTTTGTCGCAAAATAGGTTCTACCACAATCCAATGGTTTGAGGATGGTTCATCATCATGTTCCCATTAAGTGGACATATTGTGGGTCATATGGGAAGCCCAATGCCATAAACAACTCCTACCTGCAGATGTTTTTTTTAATATACAACAAATAAACATAGTGGATGGTACACAACCAATAAACATAGTGGATGGTTTGAGGTTTTGGGGTTACCACATAAGAACCAATTATACCCCAATGGTTAATCAAGCTTATCATGGCACGAAACCTCAAATTCCCCATGATATTTTCCGAGATGCCACGATGCTACGCATTGGGATGATGCGCTGGTAGATATCCTTGGGCTTTGGAATGTCCCAAAATGGTGTACATCTCCAAATGGGCCGTTTAAAAACAGCGAAAATGATGAGAATATACAATATGATTTTTGCAGGTAGCCAATTTTTGGACAAACCTGTTTGCGGGGAAGGGTCGGTTGCGGCAAATAAAATTGGCATTTTATGCAACCGATTTGGCCAGCAAATGATCAGCGAATAGCAAGTCATTCCAGTGAGATTCCACCACAACTTTGGCATCGCGCTAGGTGGAATGACGCACCCCCACAGTAGAGACCTTGCGATGCGAGTCCCACAGGCACCTGTTTGAAGGGTACCTGGATTCGATGGATTTTCCTCTGGATTTCCCAACAAATTTGGAGCCAACTGCTCCGTCCTGGGAAAGTCTCCACCAGAGGTGTCACCGAGTGAAGCGAATCTTGATAATCTCTTGTCACCGTGAGAGCCAATATAATATGATCGATATATATATATATAAATAATAATATTAATAATAATAAGAAGAAGAAGAATAGTAAATAATAATAGTAATAATACATAATAATTATAATGATATAATAGTAAAACATACTAATAACGACAATAGTACTAATAACAACGGTAACAATAATAATAAATGATGATAATAACAATAATATTATTAATAATGATTATATGATTAATATGCTGATCAATGTATGATATATGATATGATAAATGGAACATATGATATTTTGACCCTCAATTTTAGGGTCTCCCCTTCTCTCAAAACAAAGCCACATGGCCCAGATGTCAACGCCGGAGTTTCCAATGGTGGTTCTGGGCGGCTCATCGTCGGAATCCACCTGAGTCTGAAATCACACCACATGCTGCGAGGAGGGCAAACACTGGAAGATGGGAATGGAACATCCTCTTTTTGGAACATCCACGTTGATGGTTACATCATGCTGTGTAGTATTGATGTATTCTGTAGAATTATACACATCAATTTGAAGTGGGTGTAGATCACTACATGTCAATACATATCATGTACTGGTTGGTAGATAAACAAACAAAATACCGTACCCGGTACCCGTAAAATTGTTGGTTTATCATCATGTTTTTCATGAAAATGTCCATGGTAACCGGGTATTCCGTATTCCCCATATTATGCACCAAACGCTCCATCATAGACAATAATTAATTGGTTATACTTCCTCTATATCTCCACTCTATCTCTATGAAGAGGAATATACCCTCTGGTTATTTAACATAGCCATGGAAAAGGGCCCATTTATAGATTATTTTCACAGCTGGAAACCTCCATTTATAAGGGATTTTCCATGCCTATGTTAAATAACCAGATGGTAGTTCAATAGGGATATCTTTAATAAGGTACCTCTATCCCTATGGGATTGATCTTTATCTTTATATCATCTGAATATCCCATTCATCTATATGGTATTGATGGTTCAATCCTATATTAATTGCTACGAGTATCATTGATAAATCTTTTTTTTGCTATATCCCATTTTCATAGGATGGTTAAATCATGTTAAATTGAACCCTACCATTGATAAATCTCTATCTAAAAAAATTGCTATACCCTCTGGTAAACTAACAGTTTGCTATTGAAAATGGCCATAGAAATAGTGGATTTTCCCATTAATAGCATGGTGATTTTCCATAGCTATGTTAAATTACCAGAGGGTATAACCACCATTTTCCTATGGTTTTCCTATGATTTTCCCATAAAACCACCATTATTGTTGGTTAAAAATTGCTATATCCCATTTTTCTCGCCTATCTCTATGGTCACCAATCCCCCTATCGGCGAGTCGGTCGGTCCAGGCACTTCCCAATAGGGCTTCGGTTCAGGCGGCGGTCCCAGGCCCATGGCCTGGCCGTGACGTCATCAAATCTAGAAAAATAGATCATAATTGTACATATATTTATTGATATTGATTGATATGTATTGATATATTATTGATACTTATTGATATTGATTGATATGTATTGATATATTATTGATATTTATTGATATTTATTGATATGTATTGATATATTATTGATATTTATTGATATTGATTGATATGTATTGATATATTATTGATATTTATTGATATATTATTGATATATTTATTGATATTTATTGATATATTTATTGATATATTATTGATATATTATTGATATATTATTGATATATTATTGATATAATTATTGATATATTATTGATATATTATTGATATATTATTGATATATTATTGATATATTATTGATATATTTATTGATATATTATATTGATATAATTATTGATATATTATTGATATATTATTGATATATTATTGATATATTATTGATATATTATTGATATATTTATTGATATATTATATTGATATAATTATTGATATATTATTGATATATTATTGATATATTATTGATATATTATTGATATATTATTGATATTTATTGATATATTTATTGATATATTATTGATATATTATTGATATATTATTGATATATTATTGATATATTATTGATATATTTATTGATATATTATTGATATATCTATTGATATATTATTGATATAATTATTGATATATTATTGATATATTATTGATATATTATTGATATATTATTGATATATTTTGATATTTATTGATATATTATTGATATATTATTGATATATTTATTGATATTTATTGATATATTTATTGATATATTATTGATATTTATTGATATATTTATTGATATATTATTGATATATTATTGATATATTATTGATATGTTATTGATATTTATTGATATATTATTGATATATTATTGATATATTATTTATATTTATTGATATATTATTGATATATTATTGATATATTATTGATATATCTATTGATATATTATTGATATAATTATTGATATATTATTGATATATTATTGATATATTATTGATATATTATTGATATATTATTGATATTTATTGATATTTATTGATATATTATTGATATATTATTGATATTTATTGATATATTTATTGATATATTATTGATATTTATTGATATATTTATTGATATATTATTGATATATTATTGATATATTATTGATATGTTATTGATATATTTATTGATATATTATTGATATATTATTGATATATTATTGATATATTATTGATATATTATTGATATATTTATTGATATATTTATTGATATTTATTTATGGATTTATAGTGGATAAATAGAAACAAATGGATTTGTCTTCAGTTCCTCCACCCAGGGCACCTGAGCCTCGTTCATGGGACAAATGAAAGGCCCTGGCACTACCTGGGCGATGCTGACTTTTTCATCAATCTTTGTGCGAGATCCTGCTATCTTCGAAGGATATTGATATCTTGGGTTGTTATATGTCTATATAATCTATTATAATCTATTGCAATCATGTGCAATATGCATATCGGAACACGTATATTCTTCATATTTTTGGTTGCTATAATATATGGGATCATCTTTGATAGTCTTCAATATTGGTTCGTATTCCTCCGTACAAAAGATGCCGCCGAAACTATGCCATGTCCGATGACTTGGACGAAATGGGCCAATGGGCGGTATACTCCATCCACTATTATCCACTTTGTTTGGTCACATAACTTTTGATATATCATGATATATCCACTTTATGAGTCTTTACGACTGGTAAGACATTCTTTAACATATCTAGGTCCACAGCCACTGTTCCAGCCAGGCTGCGTAGTCCTTTTGTCCACTCTTTCCGTCTTGGTAGATGTTGCCATCAGAAACAACCTGGAGGCGGTACTAGTAGGTGGGATACGACCTTGTCAGCTGCCCTGAAGTACCACATATTGAAAACGGATGAAAACGGCTCAACAATTTGCTGAACACGAAAACTACATATCTAAGCTAAGGAAAATAATTCACTCGAATTTAGGAATTGAGCATTCACTGAAAAAAAGAAAACTTAAGACAACCAACCATCACTTGTCAATATGTAGTGTTCAATATTTATCAAGTGTATCCCCATTTGTAAATATTTATCAAGTGTATCCCCATTTGTAAATATTCTGGATGATTAAAACTGGTTCGATTGAATCCCCATTCAAGGTCCCTCATCAACCAGGACAAAGTGGTCGCTGGTCAAGCGGCAGCTTTCTCTGTCAGTACTTTCCACTCTTCTTTGTGCTGTTTCTTCTTTTCCTCACGCACTACTGCAAGGTGCATGCCGCATCTGTACACGATATGACTAGATATGTTGCAAGTAAAGTTTGGACTGTTAACAATACCCAAAAGCTACAGCAAATATTGAAGAGTTTCCACCCAATCTAATTGGTCATCATCACTCTCTAGCTCGGCTGGATGTTCACTTAGATTCAATGAGTTCCTGGCTGCCAAGATTATGGACACTCATTCACTTGCATCTGTCACTCCATGGTGCAATCCCAATGGCCCGGAGACCACCAAATTGATCAATCCTCAGCCACCCGCTCACAACTCAAGCCCGCTGCAGTAGAAAATCGCTGATCTACATCTATGCATGGATGTTTTTCCTGAAACATCCAGAAATTCTGACTTTTGTTGGAACCATACCACTGCAACCCCGAACATTGGATGTGGGCCAGGTGCGGAACTGTCAAAGAACTGAAAACATATTGACCAATATCCATGTTACTATCATTATATTAGATCACTATATGATATGTGTGTGTGCACAAAAATGGTTGGTGTATATAATTATTGTGTATACATATATATATATAATTATAATATGTATAATTATAATAATAATAATGATAATAATTTCAATAGTAGTAATAAAAAATAGTAATAATAATAATAATAACACAATATATATATATATATACGTTGCACGCAACTCTGTTGGCCGTATCCCCAGATCTGCCAGGCCAGGGTTTCTGGCTTTTTTGTGCATCCCAAGTCGGGAAATCTATTGTTACTATAGGGAGGGTATAAGAAAAGTGTATATCTATTGACATACTATGGCTTATTATATATAATAACAAGGATAATATCGGTTATCCAATGTGACTCATCACAAAAATGCTCCGGCTCCATTGAAAATTCGTAGAACGAATGCACCAGGATGGACCTTGGAGCAGGTAGATGATGGTAGAGGGCTAAGTAGTACAGGCTAGTGCCCATGGCCAAGCTTGGGAAGATGATCCCATCTACAGTTGTAATAATGGATCATTATCTATCTATAGATCATATGATTATTAATAGCTATATGATGTATATGATGTAATAATAGCTATATGATGTAATAATACATGTACCCAAACTGATCTAGCTATACACCAACTTAGCTACGGGCTCTACCTAGTGATGGATTATTCGCCGTCACTACCATTATGAATCCTTCTTCATCATTGATAAGCTCATCCCCATGATGTCCACTGTTCATCCATCGTTTTCTCCTTCAGCTGCTGCACTTTCTCCTCCTTCAGCTGTGCCTCCTCGGGAGTTAGTTCCTGCGGGGTGACTGGAAACTCCCGGAACTCAATGGAGGTTTAGTTCGCTGGGAAAATTGTAAGCTTGCTTTAAAGGAGAAGAGCACGCTACTTGGATACTTTTCTTCGAAATGCGCCTGAACAAAAATGAATGTTTGTTTATCAGTTTACCAATGATGGCGGTCCCAAACCACGTGTTTTTTTCTCTTGTCGTGGTTAGGGACTGCCTTGGTTTACCAATGATCAAGTCCAGGGACATGAAAAACACGTCATGCCCACAAGTACGCCGTTGCGAAGTTGGGTCCACACCAGGCTGAAGGCGGAAGTAAAAGTCAACAACGGCTAGCATTATTGTTGTTCGATCAGGGTTGAGTCGTAGCGTGCATTGTTTAGCTTTTGTGAGAATTACGTGCACCAAGTGAACTAAGTGGAGATTTCAACATATAGGGGCCCGATATCCCAACTTCCGGTAGAGATCACATGCTTACATCCATTATGAACCACTACTAACCATTAGTAACCATTCAGAACCGATGGTATCTTCATTGTTACCATGGTCCTACCCAGATTATTCCCATTACTAATCAGTGATATATCCATGTTCAGTTTTGTCCATATTAATCCATATGTTCATTCTATGCCCATATTTATCGTTATATAAATCCATATTAATCCATATTAATCCATAAAAGTCACGGGTCACCGGGTGACCCAAGCGGTGCCTTTGGTCCTTTCTTCGCTTCTGCCAAGTGGTTTGCCAACTTCTTTCGGATCTCCGGCCTTATTTCGTGTCCACGTTTTTTGGGACGGAAGGTGAGTGGCTCATCCGACCGGGCCACTGCAGTCACCAACTGAGAGCAGAACGTGGTGTAGTGGCTGAGACCCTCTTCACAAGCCTTGATGGCTCCTGTGAGATCTCCCATGTTTCGTCGACAATTGGCCTGCAGGGAAAAAAGAAGGGCGCGGGGAAAATCACTCGGTCGCAAGTGTTCAGGGTCTATGAAGTTCTTCATCAGACTACATGCATATACATATGTATGTATGTGTATATATATATATATGTGTATATATATATACATACATAGATATATTTGTATACATACACAGATATGTACATATTATTCAACACGCATATATATATATATATATACGCACTGTATATATACATGTATGTATTGACATACCCATATACGTGCGTGTATGTGACCAGCATATTGCGACAGCTCTGAAGAGAGATCGCCGCCTCGTTGCTGCACAAGACCGCCACATGATGCCCTCGGACGTCGGCCTGGCCGAAGAAAATGTAGCGTTGCGATGTGAAAAAGTTGAGGAATATATTGGAATATAGTCCAAAAGCATCAAACATATGGACTTGTCATGACTTGCTATCACTTTAATGTTCCGTCCTGATTTGTGTGGCCCCTCCTTCAGACGAATGCTATAACCTCTTGAAAGTTGAGTGTTCAAAAGCTGTTCCTCAGATAAAACACGATCATACATTTAAGTCTTTTAACTGGCGACAATTGAAATCCAATTAAAACTTTTTTTTTGCCGGTGAACTTGTAGTACTTGTACTTGTAGTGAGTGGGGTTCGGCATGTTGATCGCGTTCCCTTTTGCACCTCAAGTGTTTTTAATAAAATGTCTACTAAGAAAGAGAAAGAGAGAAAGAGAGGGAGAGAAGGAGAGAGAGATAGAGAAAGAGAGAGAGAGAGAGAAAAAGAGGAAGAGAAGGGGAAAAAAAGAGGAAGAGTAAAAGGGAGAGGAAGAGGAAAAAGAAGAGGAAGAGAAAGGGAAAGATAAAGAAAGAGAGAAAGAGGAAGAGAAAGAAAAAGAGAAAGCGAAAGAGGAAGAGAAAGAGAAAGAAAAAGAGAAAGAGAAGGTTGCTTAAGTAAAAGGCTGCTCTTTCTTCGTTTGGCTCCAGGATCACCTCCGGAAAAGTTTGCTGTAATTCTGAACCTAGAAAACAAACCTCACTTTAGTGAACTTGGCCCTCGCATGGTCCAGTGCCTTGCAAAGTTGCGGAAAACCTCATCCTTTTGGCAAAATGTCAAGATTTCTTCCAGAAAAAAATGTCAAGATGTTTCTTTCCACACAAACATTTGTTTGAAAAAACATGGTCTACAACAATAGCCACAATAAATCATGGCTTCTGCAAAGAGGTCTGGACATGTCTAGCCACTTTTTTGCGAACCGAGCTACTAATCAGACCAATCAGGATCCAACACTATACCATACATTAATACCCACAAAAAATACTGGCCCAAAGAAATATCTGGATAAATATGTATGTATGTATATATATATGGAGGTTTCCTGAAACGTGGTACCCCTAACTCATCCATTTTTCTAGGATTTTCCACAAAAAAAACCATCCAGCTATTGGCTGGTACTTCCATTTATTGAAACCCCCATGTATGTACCCAGCTTTAGTTTTGTAGGATATCTTCAAATGACTTCGACTCTACCATCCCAATACCCCTGCATCGGTGGCCTTCTGCCAGGTTTCCCGGCCCTTCTTGTAGGCCTGGCCGCCAGGCTTTTCTGAATGCCTTTGGTAACATGAAGAAAATTTGGGAATCGAGCCATTGAAACATGGGGAAAATAAGGTGTTCCCATCATTTTTTGATTTTTCCCCTGAAGTTTAGTGGTTTTTGTTGTTTCGCTGAAATTTAGCATAAAACTAATAAATTATGATAAAACAATAAAGGAGGCCTCCGAATTCCAGCTTCACCACTCACCTGCCATCACCTGACCGCAGCCTCCAGTGCCGCATCGTACTTCTTCTCTTGAAAGGCCTTTTAGCTTGCAAGACTGTGTGTCAGACAAATACCCTTGACTCTCAACATCAAACCAGATCATATATGTAACTACAACTACAATATGTATATAATATATATATATACGTATATATACATACATACAATATGTTCTTCTATCATTTGTATAATTTCATATCATTTGTGTATATTACTGCGAACCCCGATGTTAAATGTTTACTCTTATATCAGATGTAGCCAATGTAGCCGCTTCGCCTGGATAGTAACATCATTTTCTCCCATTCTTTTGCACCTTGTTTCCACTTTTCTTGTGCTTCACCGCCTCTTCAGCCTCTGCAAAGGAGAGGTAACCCTAAAATTTCCCACGACATACTGAAGCTTCAAAACGGAGCTTTAAAAAAAAATTGAGCTAATCTATGTTACTATGTGGCAAAGGTAGGTCAATAAGTCTGCCAGGGGCTATAATAATGTGTTATAAAAATTTCCGCAATAAACAAGTGCTTAATCAGTGACCAATCAACGGGGGATCTTGGTGGCTCAGGTGAAAACCTTCAAACACAGTAGATCGAGGCATGTTGAAACCCAGAAATGGGAAGATTCCACGCAGATCGATGAAAACCCATAAAAAAATGGTAAAACAGGGGAACTGGGACAAGACAGGTTGGAGGTCAGGTGGGAGGCTGTTATGTTTTTGTTCAATGTTGTAAATCTAAACGTTTGACTGTTTCTTTCTGTTAATCTTGCTAAATGTTTCGTCGGAGTTGTTTGATTAATGATTAATGTTTGGTTTGGATGAGGGTAGGGTATGTTGAGGTTGTTGTGGTTTTACTGTATGAGATAGTGTCCATTAATGTTCATTTGATGCTTGATGCTTTCTTCGTGTCGTTTCATTGTATATTTTCTTACTTCACATTCACAAATTGGACATTCCAACGTTTCTTTCTTTTTATCACTTAATTCTTCCTTTTCCCTTTCGTAGTATTGTTGAGCATATTGTTTTAAAGTTTCTTTGTGCTGTTCCCTGTATCTGCGTTTGTTTTGTAAACATTTATTACACTGCTTACATTCATTTTTGTAGTAGTCTAACGGTTGAAAGACTTTACATTTAGAACACTGCTTTTTGTCAGTCATTATACCTCTACATTTTAAGGGGTTGTGTCTTTAAGGGGTTTCTAGGGTGGATTACATCATAATATATTTTATTAAGATATTATGAACTAATCGTTAGGTTTAGTGTCTCCACTTTTCATCACCACTACCTATTCGATCCCAACATTGAGAAACAATCGTTTTGATGTTGTAGAACACCAAAATGATTGTGTCTCTATCAAGTCCTCGTTGGTCAATCAAGTATCCCAACACTGACAATAGTGTATAATAGTTTTGTTGTAATGCTGTCATTCCTCCTCTATGGTGTATCCTCTCACCGTGTTTTTTGAGTAAATCTTTATCAAATATGTTTTCATAAATTTCTTTCATAAGGTCGTGGTTTATCTCTCCATACTCTGCGTATTGCTCTAAAGATTGTTTTTGCTTAAGTAGTAGGTCATATTCTATAAAGTTATAATCAGGATAAGGATTTTCTTTTATGAAATTCATTAATCTTTCTCTATCTCTTTTTAGTTCCTCTTCACTAACTCCAATCATTGGCATTTTTCACTTACTATATATAGGTATTCTTTCTTTAAGTATCGATCACTTTTTGTAGGTGTTCTTTTATTTCATCTTGATTAATGTAATGCTCATAGTGTTTGAATGATTCTTTAGTATATTCACGCAAGAAAAGCTTGAATAGGTCTTTTAATCTGAAATCTATATTTCTAAATTCATAATAACGGTTTAAGCTAGGAAACATCCAAGAATTCGTTATTGCTTTTATATTGTGAAGGTCTACAAGCATTTGATATGTATGTCCCAAGTTTTTCTTTACATAAGATTTAGTCGCTTGAAGAAATATGCCTTTCTTCAGTGTAGGACTTTTCATCAATATGTCTATTTCTCTTCTCATTTGTCGGTCATTCACATTATCAGACAAATCTATTGGCGATGCTTCCATCCTTGTTTTAAAGACATATATTTGTTTTTCTGCTCCTGAATTGATTTCTTTATCTTCAAAGTAGTCTTGATTGTATGTTATATATCTATACTCCTTTTCTCTCAAGTCTTTACATTTTGAACAGTGAAGATTATAACTACATATCTCATCACAAATTCCAGCCGGAAAAATGTTGTTCAATAAAACCTTAATGTCAGTCATTTCTTTCTTACAACATCCGCAGTTTTTATAAGTAAATAGCATCCTCTTACTATATATAGTCCATTTTTCTTTAAGTAGTTTTTGGGGGCTCGTTCAGTTTTCGGGTTCGGGTTGGTTTTTGTTTTCCCTTTCCTCCTCTTCCAGTTCCTTTATAACCATATCAATTTCACTCATTCCTTCATTGGGGTCTTGTCCATTGGCGAGGTTTCTTAACCTCTCAAAATCCTTCACTTTGCGTCTTTCATTGGGTGGGAGGGTTTTGAGATGTTCCTTCAACTCTGTCAGGTCAAAGTATGTGTCGTGTTTTTCATCCTCGTTTTCCATAATCATTTCCACTCGTTGCTTTTCCATTTCCATAAGTTTGTTTTCCATATATTGGAATTTTATTTGCTTCCTGTAGCACTTGCCACACACATTCACAAAGGTTTTGAGCAAGTAGTTCCAATTAGGTTGGTTTCTTCCGTTCAGGGTTATAACATCTGTCATTATATGACATCCACAGTCAAATTTAGTCATCTTATTTAGTCTTACTATATCCCTTTTAAAGACTAAATCAACATTACCAGCATTTTTTGTATTGATAATATCGGTGTGTAATTCAGTATGACATACGACATCAACATTAAAATACGCCTGTGTGTTTGATAATTGAAATTTTAAGTGTTGAGGAAACGGACTACCACCAACATAAAACCTATGTAATCCACCAGAAGCAAAAATACAATAATCATAACCAGTATTGCCACTTCCTATATTGATAGAACGGATATAACTTAACCTTTACCAGTTCCTAAAACAACTGTCCCTCCAAGGACTAACTCTATACTTGAAAGAAAATAAGAAGAACCATTAACCGTTAAATCAAAACTTCCAAATTGAGCCCCTCCACCTATAACTATATCGCCTTTTATTATCTGTAATGCTTCACCAGTATATTTTACTAAATTAGTATCATCAACACCTCCACCAATAGCGGGTGATGTTGTCTTATGAAATGTGATTAAATCATTTGCTAATGTCATAACTAAATTAGAAGCAGTAGCGGGGTCGCCTACATAAAAGTCAATTTGACCTGTCTGTTCTTTCATTACAAAATTCAAAAAGTTTCCAGCGTTTAAAGATTCATTTATATAACTAACTGTCGGTATGTTGAAAAAGTAATTTACTATTCAATGGTATATCTAAACTTGATGCTAATGCCAATGGTTTTCCTAAAACTAAACCACCGTTAGTATCGTAATCATAATCATATTCCAAATAAATAGCATTGTTATGTTTAAACAGTATGTTAGACAGATTATTTTTACTATCAAAGTCATTACTCTTCAAAACGCCTGTTATTTCGGGATTGCTGACATTCAATTTATTGTTTAATAAACCATCGGTTTCAGTCTTTGTATAGTAAGAGGTGAATAAACCATCGGTTTCAGTTTTTGTATAGTAAGGGGTGAATAAACCATCGGTTTCAACTTTTGTATAGTAAGGTGTGAATAAACCATCGGTTTAAACTTTTGTATAGTAAGGGGTAAATAAACCATCGGTTTCAACTTTTGTATAGTAAGGGGTGAAAAGATTGTTTGTTTCCGCTTTTGTATAGTAATTGGTTAAATCAACACTACCACCCCCTCCACCACCACTTCCTGCGATGTCAAGGATGTTCCTTAACTGTCCATTATTTGGGTCTATTGTTCTAAACTCGCATGCCTCCACGCTCCTATTTATATTATAATATTTTGCCATATATTATTAGATGATAAAATAATTTTGTAGCATTATTATTCCACTTGAATTCTTTGATTGAGGTTTTTGTAAAACATTTTCTTCTTGTCGCTTTCCATCAAATCTATGTATAAAAAACCGTGCCTGTCATTCGTGGCAACTCGGTATATCTTGTCTAAAGTTTTCTTTGTCATACAACCCGCTCAATTCTTCCAAAATGGCATCTAAATCTTTTTGATTACGAAGCCTGAAGATGAAAAGTTGTGTGGCATTCTTCCGAACGACTGGCGATATTTGTGTGTAGGATTGCGATGTGATAAAAGTTGAGATATACCAATGCCGACCTTTGGTGAAGAGTTTGATTAACTCCTTGTTCTTCCTGACAACCTTTTCGTTGTCAGCCCAGTCGTCTATGATGATACAGATAGGTGTTTGTAATCCTTCTCCTTCATATACTTTATTATTCCTTCCTGCGTGTCTATCACGTTCTTCAAGTCCTTCTCCTCAAAGGTGTCAAAGTAAATGGGGTCTTCATCCGTGTCTTTGATGTCCATTTCTTTGTCAATGTATTTTTTCACAACCGTCCAGTTGTCATCAATGAAGATGGTTGGTGAAAAAATGTAGATTTTCTCAAAGAATCCCTTGTAGATGTCCAAGACCAAGTTTGTCAAAGCAACCGTTTTACCCGTTCCCGACGGAGCGTTCAGTAAAATCCTTGCTGGAAGACAAGCCATATACCCGTAGGATGACTGCTTACAATTATATTCTTTGTGTTTGTAAGGCTTTATATTTATCATATTAAAGGTATTTAGAAATAAATTTCCGATATATGATATTGAAAAGGAAACCTTTTTTACCTTGAAAGGGTGTCGGGTGAAAATGGGACAGTTGCTTTTCAGTCCGCATAAGACGTTAATTAGTTTTGAACTCTGCGTCCTTCTGACTGACAAAACGAAGCAATAGAAGATGAATTCGTTTGTGCATTTTCTTTTGACAAGTCTGTTTGATTGAACCCCCGACATTTTCGTTCTACCCACCCCCAGTAGAAATCGTCGTGTCGCAAAGAAAAGTCCTGTATAGTATAATTAGAATGTATGTTGATGATACTTTCTAATTATATATAATCAGGATGAACGAGTATGAAACCTACATTGATACAATAGAAGAGATCGAAAATAGGGTTGTTGATGACACGATATATCCAGTCGAGTCATCACCGACAAAAGGGTGAAGAGATGCTGTAGGCACACATTGGAACTGATTAAAATTGTTTTAAAATTTCTCAAATATAAAATAGATGCCGAAA